TCTTTAGTCTTTATCAGTGGAGAGTTTTTGTCGCCAAAGTACGTTTTTCTTTGAAAATAAAAATTACTATACGAAAGTGGGAGCTGATAACTAAGGTGTCCGACAATAACAGAAAGTCTGTAAATAAAAATTTTTACTATATATTAGTTTAGAAAAGGACCTTTATTTAATTATTTTAAGAAACTTTCGGTTCTCAATTACACATTTACTTCACTAATGGCGTACTCAGAAATAATGCGTAGGAAAAATAAATATTACACGCTTTAGGCTTAGCTTGTTTTTTTATGTAATTTGTATTTTATTATCTTAGCGTTTCTACTTTAGTTGTTTTTGTTTTGCCAACTCAAACAAACAAACGTCAATTTAATATTATAAAATAAAAAATGGGGTAAAATATAATATTAAAGGCCAAGCACACGCCAATCAGGTAGTCGGATACGTGCATACGAAATATTAATATTTTAAAAGCACTTTATATAAGTGGTGTGTTAAGCAACTACGACGTTGACAGGTGAAGATTAGCGATTTCATTGTACGTGCTGCCAGTGCCGTGTGTGGGTTGTACAAATGAAAATTTAACCGTCGAAACACAATGCTTGTTTTACACTTATCATTCAAAATAATCCTAATATATTGATTTTGTACTATTATTTTTTTTTTTTTAAATACTAATATGTTCGAAACACCACGCGGTTAAGTACTAAAAAAAGTTCAAAATATACATTCAAACATTACAGCTGGAATAAGTTATGCTTTTTATAATAATTGTAAAAAATATGATAATATCATATACGTATGTATATTTTTGTCTTGGGCATGTTAACTTAGAAACCAAACCGATATTTTTTCATTAAGTACCGACATAATATGCAAAACGTACGCAGTAAAACTTATGGAACACTAATGGTCGTGCAATCTATAGGTGATGTAGTCATATAAGATATTTTAAGGTAATGCGCAAACGTGTTAGCATTAGTCTATGGTGTATTTTATATTTGTATGTAAATACTAATTGGTTTCAAGTTGCAGCACGATAAATGAAGGTGTAAAATGAAAAACGACGCATAGAATCTAAGAGCTTGAAGATACTTGAAGATATTGTTTTGAATTTTTTATCAATTAGTATAAACAAAACACGAGATTCACTTTCCGGAGACTGGGAAGCATTTAAGCCTTTTTTAATGGTGATCAATTAGTTTGCATTCATAATTAATTTTAGCTGCTATTAGTAGTTATTTATATATTTTGTAATTTTATTATACTGGTGAAAAAGAGAAAGTATTAATGAAAACGATCAATTGTTATTTTTAAGCAAAACCTATTGTGTTCACTTTTAAAGACTAGTTTTGGCGTTATTCTAAGAAAATTATAATGGAAGAAAATAGTTTACAGCCGATGGTAGTGTCACACAAATAAAAATCGAAAGGTCTATATTTTTACACACGCGACAGTGTTCTGAAAAGCATGCGTGACATGCTTGTCTGTCAACAATATTTTCTTTTTAATGTGTACACATTTTTACACTGAGCGAAATAAACACTTTCTTTCACTTTAAAATCATTTAATAAATTAAAGAATCGAGCGGTTCTAAATTTCACACTAAAAGGGATTTTCATATAATTTTGTAACCGTTGCCAAACAGGTTTTCAAGTTTTACCGAAATAACAGACACCTCCGTTTTACAAATAATACTGAACTTTACTGTTTTTTTTAATTTTGTAACAAAATAATATAAAATAATACGTTAATGTCATTAGTTAAAGACGCACTTTAGTTAATGGACGTCAAATTTAGGTAGTTAATAATTACCTCATTACTAATTAGTTTTTAATTTAGTTTTCTATAAATGAACATAACAACAATACAACCAAAACGTATTACGACTAGTAGTCAGTTTCATAACTTATTGATGACATCTAAAAAAAACAAATATTTTATTATCGTTATCTAACCAAGGTATCCAATTAAATTAAATACAATAATTATGCTTGTTACTTTATGATAGTTCTATGTTAAAAGAGCTAATTTGTACTGGCAAAATTTATAAAGTCAAGGTGATTTCAAGCATATAACATAATATATATTGTTCCTATGCTTTTACTAAAATATGAACAAGACAATATCTATTTTAAAAATGGTGTCCTCTCCAAAATTCTCATCGCAATATTTGATTTCTAAACAAAACTTAGTATTTTTTGTTGCGTAATAATAAGTTTTATTTAAAGTTAATAAAGTTATTTAGTGAAGAAATAAAATAATTAAATACTTAAATAAACCCTTAGCTACAAAAATAATACTCTACAGCGTATACGATGTCGACAGCCATATTACGAAAAAGTTAGTTATTTAGATATAACTAATGAACTTAATCGTTTTTTGAGATAAAGAACACATTTTAACTTTTTTAACTGTTGGATGAGCTCTTAAATCAAATAATTATGTTTTAGGAAACACTGAATATTATTATTAACACTAATACATAAAGCTGAGTATTATTTTCCCTAGTAGAACCCACGCAAAAATGATGAAGTATAAATATTTCCTAAATGTTTTGTAGAAATTTGGAGTACATACATTTTTTTTAAGGGTTTGAAAAAAATGTATGTATATTTTTGAAATTTCTTATATATTAATTAAACATTCGTGTTATTAATATTAAATTTCTTGCCAAAAATATCAAAGTGGTAATATGTTTTCACAATACAAAAACATATTACAATTATTATAATGTATTATAATTTGTACTGAAATATTTTTTGCTGCGAGGGAGTTAATATTCAGATATTTTTTTTTTTTGTTTACATTAAGGAATAACATGGAAACCAATTTTTAACGCGTGAGCGCTTCGGTGATGGAAGAAACGAGTGTGCTAACCGAGAACGATGATCAATGCAAAATGCATTCTAGTAATGTAAAACGATATGGTGCGACCGTGAAAAAAAAACGATGTGCCAATGACCTGGTCAATGCTATCAGTGTGAATTGCCTGTATAATAATAACTGTAAACGTAGATAAATCGGTCGTCGACGAAGGGTCTTGAACTATCATTACAAGTGTTATTAAAGAGAGTATAATTATTATTATTGTTATTATAATTATTATCATGTTACATTAAACGACCTATTTTTACGGACGCGATAACGGTGGTAACATTAACAATAATAATAATAGATCCATGACCTTAACGACGTTTTGCCATTTAAGCCCAACGGGTCCTTTTTTATCTGATGATGATCGAACCAGTTTTTGTTGTGAAATATCGATTTTTGTTTTAATATTGATTCACCAAGTTTAATCATGTTGAATACAATTTCTGAAGTTCATGGTCGAGGAAATAAATAATTATCTGGAAGAACAGCACTTAAGCCGGATTATACTTGAAATATTTTATCGCATCAAATTTTTTTGATAATGTTATTATGTGGTTTACACAGATAACAGAGAATATCGAAAAACCACGAATAATAAAGATATTAAACGATAACAAAATATGATATTGCAATTTATTTTACCATTTGCCGTAGGAAATCATTACAATAAACGCGATAAATTTTTTTTTTTTGATATCCCCGTTTAAAAATAAAGTCAATATAATTTGTAAGGAAAAATTGAAGCAATCACAAAGGCAAAATGTGAAATATCAAGATTTTTTTTTCACAACTCAACACGAGTAATTAGCTGTAGTATCTTTAATACAAATGCGATTACCCGATAACGACTAGCCAGTGTCCTACGAATTGGGTTTATACTAAAGCAGAAAGCTTCTTTGTTTTTATTTAAATTTTTCTTATAAACTAGTGCTCATAAAAGCTACAGTACGAAATTAGATTTTGGTTATTAGCCAGAGACGTTATGTCGAAAACCCGAGGCCTTGCGTTAACGAGGTAAGACAAGAGTGTGTAAACTATAAGGCCAACGGAATTATTTTTAAATTTCAACAGTCGATTTTTCTTCATTTATTTTTTATTAACTTTCCATATTGGGCTACCACGAAATGTGATACAGATCGGATTTTTGGCCGTTTCGTCGGAAGGGAAGAAGAAATTGGATTACCATATCTTTTTTTCTTTTTTTACTGTCGAGAAGCACGCGATATGTACAGCAGTTGTAGGTAATAAAAATAGTAGGAAAAAAAACACTAACGACCGGACCTGGTTCGGTTGATAGCGCACTGAGAAAAACAATAACAAAACTCGCACACACCAAACGGCCAAACTCCCGACAACAGCAAGAATTACAACAACGACAGTAATAAAAAAATTATTATTATTATTGTTAAAATTATTCATTACTATACCGTTCTGTAATTTCTAACGTCCGAGACAACAATGCAAACGTAGTACAGCTGTATTATACATACGCAGTATCGCTGTTATAATATAATATTTTAATATGTAGACGGCGTGTTGTACGAGTTTTGAGCAATAATAAAAATATGAATAATGAATATAATTATTATTATTACTATATTGTATTCGTGATACGGTTGTAGTGATAACGCCACCACGACTTGACCAGTGACCGGACGGTTTATTATTATTATTATTATTACTACATTATATTTTAGGTTTTTTCGAAGGGCGACCGGTTGGTCCGTATCTCATGGTTGTGTTGTTGTTTGGTAGTGACGACTAAAAGGTAACCACTAACCGAACGAGCACAAATCTGAAACGCACGTGCGCCGTGTGAAACAAAGAGACGAGAAGAACCGACCGGAGACGTTCGACCGCGGTTACCTTTTTCCAGGTACCTTTGCCATGCGGACTGGATTAGGCTATCTAAAAATATTATATTCAATTTAATAAATTGTCTACACTTTGTCCAAAATTTGTACACGTCGTTTATTATGAAATTTTAACACAATGTAGCGCGGTGGCTGAATTTTGTCAAGCGAGTGGGTGGATGATCGACCAGAGTTCAACCGTGCAATTGAATAAAACCACGAATATTACTATTATAATTTATAACTATTATTCTTTTTGACATTCAAATTTTTTACCTGCGCGAACGACGACCGTGAACGTTTATTTTTTTCGCTCGAGCTCTCGTCGGAGGTCCGTCAATTGACTCAAAATCCAAATAAAATTTTCGAGAAAAAAAATCTAATTCTATACGAAACGGAAGAAAAAAATTTCTTTTTTTTCGAAACACACACACAAGGAGCTAAATGCTCAATAATAATATCATACACAGACCGACAGCGTGTACAGAGCGAACGTCTGATGCGTCGAACAGCTGACGTTGATGTCGCAACAATCGGAGCAAGGACAGTGAATCTGGTAAGTATAATTTAATATAATATTATGCTGTATATTATAAATATATATAACATAAAATTTTATATTTTTTGTATAATCTATATAAAACTATATCAAAATTATCGTGTGTGTGTGTTTGTAATACAAAGAATAAACGCGACAAGACGAGTGAAGACTGTACGGCGAAGGTGTGCGCGCGCGCACGTTACGGCTGAAACGTAAACAACAACTGGCTGAACCGAATGACGACGGTGGCGGAGGATGACCTGCTGCTGTAGCCGCCACCGCTGGTCCGCGCGCACGCCGCCGCCAACAATCGATTGTGTGAGCGCGGCCCCCTTCCCTATCGATTATTTTTCCTCTCGTGTTTTTGTTATTATTATATACATGCATTATACGTACGTCGATAATATATACACGTTTGTATTATTATTGCGCCGTTCGTTAGATAAACAACGAAGCACGTACATAATAACATTCATAGTTAATACACGCGCTCACAATATAAAATATTATACCAATGTTGGATACATAATAGGTAGTTGGAAAACGGCAGGGTACTCGCGGGTATTTTGTTTTGTCTCAGCATCAGTTTTCCAGGATTGAAATATTGTCAAAAAAAAAAAAAAAATGTGGAGACATATGCACGATTTGGGGGAAGCTTGAGGAATGTGCTTAGCACCCCGAGTTTTGAATTAACGCCCTCAAAATTGTTTGCGATTCATATTATAAGTTGTGAGGTGATGGGATTTTCTAATATTTTTGGTGCTTGAACACCCCCTCCCTTATTTGAACTAAATTGGGCCCCTATTCGGGACCGACCCAGATTATACTGATTCGGCTCCCGGCATAGATGGTCAAAAAGTATCCAACTATCAACTATTGAAGGATACAGGAGAAAAGGGTACTTGTCTATTTTTCCGATTTTGAGATAATGATACCGTTATGGTACATTGGGGCTGTTGTCAAATGTAGAGATACGTGGAAAAAATATTGTGGCCCAATTAAAAGGCTTTAAAACAGTGACATATATATTTGTATGCGCAATCTAACTTTGTTATTGCTCTCTTGAAATACTGTCATTGATGGACTACTATCCTTCTTTATCTCTGCCCTTTAATTGATACAACTATAATATGAAAGTATCAATGAATCCATCTAATTAATCGATGGTCCAAATTATTTAATTTTAATCAGTGGCGTTAATAATTTCTTCTGGGGTTTAGTATTCAAATTTAACATTTAAGACAGGAGATGGAGTACATTTATGTATGTGCACTATGAGTTATCCATTCAGTTAAACGATGGAGTCTATATTAAGGGTTCTCAAAGTAATTTGGTGAATAAAATCCAAACAAAAATGTAGTCTAAATGCGGTTTCTGTTCAAGCCAGTAAACTTGAGATTAAATGATATAAGCAGATTACTATAATGTAGACACAATGTACGTTCGTACCTACTTTATATTATACAGATATTATCAACGGACATATTTTACCTACACATACTCGTATGCAGCTAATTTCTATAGTTATCTTCTAGTATACATGACATCACCATAACAAAGAGTAACAAATATTATGGAGTATGTCGTATGAATAAAGTTATTTGTTATTACACACTCCACTTGTGATAAAACCGTTGCATAATAAAATCATGTGAGTCCTAACACCACCTAACTCAATTTTCTCAACTTTACAGGTGGTACAAAAAATACTGATTTTATTCATTGGGAAATATTTTGTGTTAGAGTTGGTTTTTCTCTTTTTTTCCTATTTTCAGTGCTCAGATCACCGCGGTATGGTGGCCATTCGATTGGCCACGAAAAAATACATTAGGTAAGGTATCTAACACATTTTTGGCAAAAACTAAATTTGGAGGTGTTAGAACTCACATGGCGTTATACTGTATATAATGAACTCAATAGGTTAAATTTTGATTATAATATCGACAAAACAAAAAAACACGTAGGAGTTTCTATCATTTTAACAATTAATATTTAATAGTGACCATCTTTAAATTAATAGCACCAATTGGACAATGACTTACAATACACAGTTATGACCTGAATAATAAATAGAACGCTGACACACATACCAATTATTGTACAAATTTAACTAAACTTCATAAGAACGTATTTCAATTAATCTTGCTCATTATTGCTTTACCTTTGCCCTCGCAATCATACCATGTTATCGTTACAGACGATTTAACACGTACAGAAATAATCGAATGACAACAATAAACGTTTCTTTCATAACAGTTGGTTTAGTATAATTTTTAACATTGTAATCAATAATACTATATAGCCGCCAATACTCAGCAAGCGTCGTTAACCGTTGTGTGATATTGAACTGTAATTTCTAACAATATTTAAGGGTTAACAAATGCATTAGTTGTCAACTTCAATCAAATATCTAGAACAATCGTTTAATTCTATAAAAGCTCACGCTAATCACTTTGGTCGTCGATACCATTACTATGAAAGTAAATGAATAAAAATGTAATAGGTATACAGGATGTGATCCACTAGTTAAACAAAAAAAATGGTTATTATAGTTCATGTTATTTTACATAATATATTTAGTAAAAAAAAATAGTAGACATTTGTACAGCTCTTCGTTTTTCAAACTCGGAAGTCAGATGGTCAACTTATCTTACTTATCAACGTTTTAAGTAAAGAATTAAACGTACTTAATATTTCCTTTTTTTAATTTTTAGCATTAGTGAGCAAATAAGTAGTAAGAGTGTATACAATAAATGCAAAGATATACCAATTTTGCTTGTACGCACTTTCCTTGTGGCCCAATCGTTTATTTAATAATTACCTACTCTTAAGTTTAATGTATTAATTATTATATAATGCTTATCGACTGTTAACTGATTGTAAGTAAACCATGATAGTTGTAAAATCTTGAATTAAATTTATTTTTTAGGAAAAAAAAATAATCTTTATAGAAATGAAATGTGAACCTGTTAATGCATTTCGAAGGTTGGTATAGAAATAATAAGAACCACTAAAATCATTGGGTAATTGTTTTAAAAAATTATGTATTTAATAATACATTGCTTTTAAACGGCTTTTATAAGTAGATAAATTTAATTATCTTCGAAAACTGTACCGATTATAATTATTTCGTACAAGAGTTTCTTCATATTTTATAATATTTATAATCTATTTGGATTGTAATTTCCCTTGTTACAAATTAGTAAATAACGAATCCATTGTTTGGTGTACAGTCTACAAAATATTAAGTGTATAGAAATAGGATAATCCGTCTCGCTCATACGAAAGAACACAACTTACAGTCACAGATTAGTTTGTCTTATGCAATTCTCAGATAACAAAAAAAAATCACTTATTCCTCTAAATGAAATGGTTGAAATATATTGTTATCGTTTAACACTATGGTTGTATTAATCAAATTGAATTACATTTATTATTTTTTTAAACATAAGTTATTATAACGATTTAGTAATATTCTACAAATAAATTATTATTCAATTATGTAATTGTTTTATTTTCTTATCGTATTCCACTATATCAGCTAATCGTCATTCGTCATTACTTATTACTACACTCTAATATTCGTACTAGAATAAAGCAAATTTCCACAAAATTAGGGCATCTCTACACATCGTATAATGCGCATTTTATTGAAATTCTTTGTCAAGAAAATTGAACTACAAAGTTATAGTATTACATTTTAAATAGTATAAGAATTAATAACTATACTGACCAACTACCGGGCATAAGTTAGGTATATTTTGTATAAATATTTAATTTATATATAAAAGTTTTTTAGTTAGTTATTATTTGATAAACTATAGTCTATACTGCATAGTGCATAGGCAAATCATAAGCAAGTCGTATTACCTATATTGGTTATTAGTCATTAGGTATAGTATTATATTATTGCAATGGATATAAATGTAACACAGCGTATTGTATAATAGAAACCCGTGGGCTGTGCCCACAACACTGAGCACATGATCGCATGTGGTTCCCTATAGGGAGGTTAGGTTAGGTGTTAAATATTATACTGTCAACCGCGATCTGGGTTTTAATATTTGAATAGACTTACGTTTGTAAAAAAAAAAAATGTTTAAATATTAGCACAAATAAAATTAATTTGTATTGTTTCTGTATATTTATGTACGTGGAAAAAACAAATATTTGCATTTCGTTAGCTGATATTATATTGTGGATACAGCTGAGAAAAATTGTATAGTTACTTATTTAATATTATACGATATGTTTGGTTTTCCACAAGAAAGGGGACATGATTAGGTATCAGAGATACGACACTTTCCACTATAAGGTATTTAATCTGGCAAACAAAAATGTCTTTAATTAATTTTAAAAAACCGCATACGATTTTCTCGTATTTATTTTATATTGTATATGCTTTTGCGCGCTACCGAACGAAATTGATCAATTAACGCGATTCGTTTAAGCACGGTGTATTTTGCCAGGGCATTTAATGCGATGTCAGGGTCATGTACCTGAAAGTAACCAAGTGACCTTCAAGGAAACGTTGGCAGTATAAGTGAACGGTTTGATAACGCAATCGCAGCCAGACTCGCCAAAAATGTAACGGTCGCCGATTCAGTTACTTGCCACTTGGGTTATAGTATTGTTATTTGCCTCAAAAAGTTTTAATTTATTTACCAATAAAAAAACAATATATTTTTAGTTATTTTTAGCAAACGTCACAAAGATAATATTATTTTACATTGTTAATTTAACGTCGCACAAAAAAAATTCCATATTTTACAGTATTTTTAAATTACTTCGAAAGAGATGTTTAAAACTATGTACGACTCACGAATAGTTGTTTTAGGTATGCTCTGCTAATGTAATTTGTATTGCTATTCTATTTGAATACTTATAGTAGCAGCAGGGCTGTGGTAACCATTGTAAAAGCACTCTAGGGCAACCACTGTGTTCCACCCCTTAAAAAAAACTACAGTTTTCATCCCTTATCCGTTGTTATTATAAAATTGAACCCCCTTAATTTATACCCTCCCCCTTCTACCGCGACCCTGATTAACAGAATATCAACAGTAGTGAACTTATTGCAAGTAAAAATGAAATAGAATTTTAGTGGAATTCAAATAAAATATACATTATAGTTACCTACCACAAGATAAGTGTATTTATAAAACTTATTATTATTTATTAATATGAACTTAGTCATGCGTCATACGTTCTACATTGTTTACATTGTCTTAGAATATTATTACGAAATTTGTTTGAATACCGTATGCTATCATAATAATGTTAAATGTTCATCGTTGAAATAAATAGTTTATTTTTATTTTAATCGTAAAGAGTTACTGTGGGCAAGTTTTGTTTCCTAAACATTTATAAGTCGTTTTAATTATTAAAATATAAGCGTACAATCAACAGAATTTTAATACATACACGGTGATCCAAAAGAATCATACATAAATTATGATTTATGTTTATATTATTATGTTGACCTACATGTCATATAAAAAATATGCATGTATCCATTTGCTCTATCTTAATTCAAATAAATAATTGATACTAATATTCTAAAATTGTTTTGTATTTCCATGAAATATATAATCGTTCAACACTCCTTATGATACCAAAAATTTAAAATCAAAACAAAAATGTATTTCTTATAATTAGGTTAAGACGAATTACATTTCTAATATGTATGTTGAAAAAGGGCTATCGGACTTATTGAAAAAAGACAAAAAGTAATTATTTATCTAATAAATAGTATTTATGTTTGCCATCCTATAGCACAGTTTTGTAGTTTTGTCAGTTACAGCTGACTCGCATAGTTAATAGGTTATGGTAGTTCGGCTTTCTTATTATTTTTACTTAATAGAGCTTTCACGCTATTTTGCACTTAGCAGTAGTCGGTAATATTTTTGTGTCACTGAGCCGGGAGTTAAGTCGGTTAAGACACTCCGGCCATTCCGTTTAGGTGCCACGACAAATCCAATTATGATCGACAGCAAGTCCAAAGGAAATTTAAAAAAAAAACGTCCCAGTAATAACTCTAAAACTTTTATAAAAGGATTAAATTAATAGCATCATTCAAACCCGTTCTACATGTTTTCAGACATATTTTGTCCACATAATATAACTATCAATTAAAAAAATATGTATATTCTGTATTATAGTGGTATAATACATATTGAGGCACCTAGTAAGTCGTGATTCCGAAATAACACTTTCCCAATTCCAAGTTTCCTATGAATTATGTTACTTCGTAGGAAGACAAACGATACAATTGTTTTCTTTTCTTTTTTACTATACAACAAATTTAACGTGCTAAACAAACGCCGTAAGTACGCTATTACTACTTTATTATGTATGCATGCGTATTAAAAAACAGTCAGAACACCTAAAATAACGCATACAAATCATCTTTAGGTACTTAACTGCTGTATATTTTTATGACAAATTAAAAATAATTAATACATTGAAGAGGAAGCGTCGGACTTGGCAAAAACCCCTACCCGGTTTGCCCAAAACAATAATTTTATAGAGTTTATCGTTTATGTATCTCAAAAAACTTAACTTATATTATAAAAATACACCCAGGTTTTCCAACTCTGATAAGCTTCAATAGTTGATTAATGTTCTTAGCGTTCCGTGCATATGCACAATTTAGGTAAAAAAATCAGAGCATTTAGTAGTTGCAATGTTTAAACCATTTTTTGTGTTTGCATATGTGGGCGCATAACGTTTAATTTGCTGAGAATTACACAGTATATGGAAAATAAAAAAATATCATGCAAAACTGTCGTTTTTTAAGTCTTTGCATTTTAAACGGCTCTAGTTTCCATTGTTTTCTGTTTTACCGGTTACCCCGAACAACGGCCACCACACTCGACTGCCTCGGGTTCACGGTCATTTTGTGAGAACGTCAGATGTACATGACACCTACAATGTTGCGCGCTACAAGTAACTAGAAATTAAAACAAAATATATGAATCACCGTAATTAAACGCAATTTTTCATAACGGAATTATTCGCATTAAAAATAATTACCAGCAATCAGGCGGAATAGGTAATCCATACCGAAGGGGGTACAAATCGCCGCGAGGTCGTCGATCCGCCCGACCGGACAGAGAGAGAGAGAGATAAATAACTTGGAAAATGAAATAAACCCGTTTCCTCCGACCGACGGCCGTCAATCCGTCTTTGTGTCATAATATAAAGATAACCAACACAAAGATGGACAACTGAAAAGTAACAACAACATCGATTGTCGACACTATCGGCCGGACATGCGCTTCATCCGATATATTTTATACCGGGTGTCCGTGACGTCATTTGCTCTTCGTGTGTGATCCGAGCTGTCTTTTGTGTGCTTACCAAACACCACCACCGCTACAACCCTCTCCCCCCCCCCATTGCTATTTTCTACCCTTGAAGTGACAGGAAACGCGTTACCACGGTGACGAGATCTTTGCTGTTGGTCTTTGTTGTACATATTAAACTTACATCCTTCGTGGAGGCACCAGGCTGGCGGGGTATGTTCTATGACAAAGACCGAACAGCTGTTGTGATACGGCGAACTCTACACGTTGTCGGTAGCCTAGGGATCTTCGAAATGTAGAACAATAGTGACAAACCCAAGATAAAAATATAACGATACAACAAAATTAAAAAAAAAATTCACAGTAGCGTACCTACGTAGACCCCCCCCCCTCTCCCGGTCACATATAGTTGTTCCTTGTCTTTATGAAACAAATTGTATTGGTATACTTGGAGTGAGGACGTTAACATTCCATTTTCAAGTTTCAAATTCATCCAGAAAAAAAGTTTTATTTAAAATATATTTTTAGGCTAGGAGTAATATTGACGAAACATTCCTTCATAAATTTTAGTCCTCCTACGTTTCTATGGCAAAGCGTGTAGGCCGTAGCGAAATGGTCTTAGAAAAAAACGTAGATACCGTTAAGGGGAACGGGGAGCGCTATTTATTAAGAGGCAAAGGATAGGCAATATTTTTCAAAAATTTATCCAGTAGCCAATTTTAATATGCCGACTAATTTTAATGTGAAAATATATTAAGTTTTTCTTGTTATATAATACTTTTAAAGTTATTTTCCTCCGAGTTATGGCAAAAGTTAAAGTAAAAATCTAAATGCTTAAAAAATTTGTGTTTGAAAGCATAAATAAAAAATCTGTCTTATGTTAAACCATATAACCAAAAAAAAAAGTTTGAAATCGATCTCGTAGATACTACAGAAAGTGACTTCGCGTTTTAGTCTTTATTTGTACAACATTTGACGCTTTCTGTTCCCCTTTAAATGGGGAGAACTTCAACTAAGTTCTCTCGTCAGTAATTTAAGAAAATTAAAATTTCTCCTAAATACAAGCATTTAAATAAGTAAATAAACGTCAGAATTGTAATATAAATTGAGAATTTCGGGTTGATAATATCAAAAAAAAAAAAATTCAACGAGAGAACCTAGATAAAGTTTTCATTATTTTAAATACATAAAAAAAGTTGTCTACAATTATTATTTAGCAATTATGAAATATGTGTAGCTGTTTTGATGATAAAACAATTTTAAATTGCTGTCAAGGATGCCGTTTTGACCGAAAAATAAATTAACTACCAAAAAAATGTTCCAATAATTAAACATCACAGTTTAACCTTTAAATTAAAATTTGCAAAAAAATTGCCTATACCAAACTCCGTAATAATAGAGGGTACTCATACTAAATTGCATTAGTCTGTAATCGTCAGCAGTCACGGTCAATATCTAATTGACAACATTTACTATTTCACTGGTGTCTGGCACTCAAATAATAATTTGAAATAATTTTTGTTTACTATTTTACTCGTCATGAATGTTTACCATACACCATGGTTTTAATTTAATGTTGCGTGTCTAATATTATAATACATGATGTTAAATGTAAATATTATTTCATAAACATTTTGCAACTCTTGGACGTTTTTTGTCTTGGTGACTTTTTATTAAATGTACAACAATGATATTATGTTATGAATTATGATACAATTTTAAATAAGTGAAATTTTACACGGAAATATTTATTATTATCAGTACAAAAAAAAGAAATGATAACGATGTACTTTTATCACTATCTCTCCTTATCACTTATCAGCACACGTTCAAACGTTGCAACTTGCATTTCGACTTTTAATGACACATAATATTTTAAAGTTAAAATATATACGTTTGAAATTTAAAACTATTTTCGTGTAATTATGTATAGTTTCAACAGTTACGTTCAAATGCATAGTAGTTAGGAAAAATAATATACTTACCAATAATTAAAAACCCTGCAGGCGTTTCAACAACGTAAATCAAATTTATTAGTAGCTTTTTTTTTTTTTAGATATTTATTACCTACCTTTATAGAAATGGCTGACGAGTGTTCGGTTTTACAAGAAGAAGAGAGAGAAGCGTTATTGTCAATCTACGATGGCGATGAAGCATTTAAAGAAGTATCTCCAACAATTTATCAGTATAAAGTATGTCACGTTATTGTTATTTCTTCGAGTTTTGATTTTACTGTAAAAATGTTTCAATTCTTTAACTATATTTGATTTAAAGATTTTAAAAACACTTTTAACACACACATTTTAGTCCTATGGGTTGTTTATTTATTAGATAAATAAATAAGTGTTTTTATTTGTTTAGTACGGTGAAGATGATGATAACAAATCATTTTTGCTAGAGATAGAGTGGCATGGCAATTACCCAAACGAAGCTCCAAAAATAAATTTGGATACTTTTTACAATAGGCACATGTAAGTATAAATATTCTGTAGCCCAAATTTTACCTGCTATTTGGTACTTGGTAAATTCAGTTTTAGTACAAAATTGAGGTTTAATCGTTTTAGATCACATGTAAAAATCTTATTTTTGCTAAAATTAGACCCAAACTGATTATGATTGCCTTCTAATGAAATAAGAAATAAAATATAAACTAAAGAAATATTTTGATGGTAAAATATAATGTATTTTATAGTAAATTACATTTTTCTAGCGTAAGTTCAGTTAAACAAAATATCCTGGACAAAATTGCAACCGAGGCCAATCATTATTTGGGAGAGTCCATGACCTTTACACTTTTTGAATTCATTAAAGATATTTCTGAAGAACTTGTTGCGGAACAACCTACTAAAGAAGTCATTGAAAGCATGACAAAACTTGTGAGTTATTATAATATGTTTTCATTTTACAATTTTTTTAAGCTATTTCTATAACTTTGTAAAATACTATTTAAAAGACAATAGATAATGATGAAGATATAACAAAGAAAGTAACAGTAAAAAAGGATCACATGAGCAAAGCACAAAAAAGAAAACAATGGGATCGCCTGGATTCCAAAGGAGATAAACCTCGGGGATTTGACTGGATAGATGTAGTAAAACATCTGTCTCAAACAGGATCGTCCAAGGTAGAAATATCGACTTGATCAGCAATACTGTGATATCTAATAATAAAAACTATTTTTGAGAAGTGTATTTTAATCGTTGGTAAAAATAACTACCAAAACTAATTATCTTTTGCAATCGTATACTAATTTGAATTTTCCTTGTCACCAAGATGCTCTCCATTCTTCCACAACTAAATGATGACTTTTAGAACTCCAATCTTTAAAAAAATTATCTTTTATTTTTTGAATTTACATTCAATTTTTAAAAATCAATAGAGTACTTACCAGCCATTTTAGCGTGTAGCAGAAACTTATCAAAGTATTTATTAACAAATTCACAAGCTAATTGCACATACTCGGCGTGTGTACATCCAAATTGAGAATTTTGACAAGTATTATACTTCATCTAAACAATAAACAAAAGAAAATATATTGTTTTAAATATTTCAATTCTTAGGTAGGTAAAATTATATAACGTCGGTCTATTTCGCAATTATATCATAACGCCCCAAAAATTACTATGTTTTAGAAGAGGCAAATTACATCCAAAGTTTATCAGTTTAACAAAAACTATGAGCTTATTTTGTTCAATACGTTCACTGCGGAGTGAGAACAGCACCAATTGACATTGATAATCGTACCAATTTTTATACACTTATAACTCAGTCAGCGTTAGAAGGTTAGGTTGTATGCTTCAATTTTTTATATCTAAAGTCACTATATAACATTTTTCTATATGCCGTTTCTGAATAGCACCTCCCTTAACAATGACCCAATATAATAGTTGTAATGGTGCTATTTCCTCTCAGTCCAAGAGACTCTGTTCAAGCAATGTACAGCATGTGAACAACTTTTAGAGATTTTTCTATTTCTGTGAATGATAGTGACAGATGACATTTGGCAGTAAACTGATGAAATTTATTTGTTCAATGTTACGTTTAGTAAACAAACAGTGTAACCTGTAGATACCCAGATAGGGAAAAACCTATTGATTTTTTATTAACACTTTTTGATGAGAATTTTTTTGTACTTTAAATTAATGAAATAAATGATCATGCCATTCTATGCCATGTCTGAATTCTCACGTATTGATTATGCAGAGGGTTCTCGTATAAGTCAATGGAAACCTACGTATTGTGATAAAATTATAACTTTCATTAGTTTAATTATATACACGGGCACTATAAGGCTAAATCGATGAAACGGTTATTGCAAAAAGCATCTTTGTTCTATTTTACATGTTTTTCAAATTATATGAGTCATGATAGTTTTCTCCTCCTTTTTTGAGATGTTTTTTTTTTTGTTAAGAATACATGTTGTAAATATGCTACTATTTAATTAATTTAATTTGTACAACTAATAACAAGTTGGTTCGAAGATCTAAGGTCACTCTATGACTTTCAGTAATTTGTTCTAAGTGAGCTGTTATCAGCTTTCCAGGAACCTATACTGGACCCTAAAAAGAAACATATTACAAAAACTCACGACACTGGAAAGAATTTTTTTTTTTTTAGTATCTTTATGAATGAAAAATCAATTTTTAGTGTTTATATCAGTTAGTTTAAAAATTAAAACAAATCTTTTATTTTTAGATTTTATTACACAAAACATTTAATTTACTCAGCTTTAACAATAAAATGAGAGAATAAAAAAAATTAGTGAACACTTATTGATGCCATTCAGCGTGTGTTGTAAACATTTTCCAATAGTACTGACAACACCATTTGGCGTTGTAATTTTTCAGAATTTAGGTGCAATTAAATTATATACGCAGTGAATGTGAAGAGTTTGGAAATCTGCCGACAATATATATAATTAATTATACTCACGGAACGCAATGGATTAAGTTTAACGAAAGAGTATCTACTCTTAGGGCAAACTAAATGTGCTAATACATTTGCATGAAAGTAAGCTTTCAAAATGTTTTCCGTATTAATATTTTTGTCCAATACCACATGAACGGTATTGTGTTGTGTTTCAAGTATCAATATATAAACGTAATCTTTATACAACTCAATATGATCGATTAGATCCCACATATTTATCAAATTAGCATACAATAAATTGTGTACGGACGTTCCCAAATGTATTTTAAATGAAGATAGTCTTTCATCTGTGAAAAAGTTTTGTTTATAAATAAAAATTGAAAGGTGTACGAAATATCTGACGTAAAAGCACCTTTTAAAAAACACGCTTCTCTTTTGTTTATAAATTCTGGTTTATTTACATCGTGATTTTGTAAATCATTAGACAGGTAATATTTTAGTGTTAAATCAAAACGAGCGGCGTTAAAAACATTGATGTTTAAACTCTTTACGGCTTTGTAGTTGGAAAATAAATGTACTGCCGTTACAGTAAAATATATAGTCCATATAACTCTATAATAAACATTATAATTATTTTCATACAAAATAAAATAAATTGTTAATTATTGGTTTATGTCGGCTTACATAATTCGATTTTCAACAATTGGTAACATTATCAAGCCGATAAGGAACGCTAATAAGTTCATGCACGTTTCTTGACTCCCGTCTTTGGCTGAAACATCACCCATATTTTCTCGAATTGCCTGTATGGTAAAATATATTTTATATAATATTCATTTATATCATACTAAAATTTTTTAGAAACAAGTGTAAATAATAGTAATAACTTGATGTTGCGTCAGTGCCGCGCGTGTTGCTCCGCCAGCAACTCCCACAATTGATTTTGCACAACTCGAAATCATCAAAACCAGTAATGAAAATTGCCTTAACCATTGTATACTGAGTAGCAGTTCAAGGAATATTGCAAAATCGTTTAAAACATCGGCTCGAAGTCTCCACGTTTTACATTTAGTATCCAATTCCGATCTGAGCAATCATCATAATATAATTTTAAATTTACATTACAATGGTAATTTTATAGAATTATAATCAATTTTTACTCTATTCTATTCTGCGTGAATGACTACTAAAACATAATAAGATACGTCTATATGTCAATTACCCTTTCCACCATGCAAACGTAATACGTCCAATCATACCAGTTCCATCTTTTAGTATGTAAGTAATGGAAGCTGCAAGAGCTGAAGCTTGAGCATCACCTACACCGACGCCTTTCAGAATAGCATTTGTAGCTAAAATGTTGGCTATTGTACTACAGAATGCCTATAAACAATAGGAAAATAATCTAACTATACAGCAAACGAGTAACTACTTTTAAATATACCGACAGGTCTTATATGGTACAAACATAATAATAATAATATTATTGAACATATATTTTATCTAAATTCAATTCTACAAATCACAAGTGATACATCTGAGTTCAAGATAGGAATGTAAGTAAAATTAGTATACTTGTTATAATATAACAATGTATGTATTACCTGTAAAGTATCCCATATCTGGTACTCTGTATAGTCTTTGCTCACACTATTTGGGAATCCTTTAGGTAAAAAAACATCTTTAAGTCCATCAAAAGAGTTTGATATTAAACTAGTAGATTGTTTACGTCTCTCAGATTCTAATATAAGTTGCCGTTGATCTAAACAAACACACAGTATTAAATAGATCAACAAAAATACCTAGGTACCCTTTATTCGATAAATGATATATATCTTTTAAATTAATCGGACCAAAAAATTATTATTATTAACATTCTTAACACTTATTGCAGAGCCCTTTAATTAGCAATAATAATTTCCAACTAGTAATTTAGGATAAACAGTGTATCGAATCTTAATAGTGATTTTTTATAAGAAAACGTCTCTATAATGCTTATTTTTAAAACAAAGTAAGAAAAAACTTGCATTTGTTATACTCAATAGAAAGTAGACAATATAGGAGTTTCAAACTGCAGTCAATTTTTTTATAAAAATTTTGATTAAAAATTAACTATTATACCGTGTCGTTTGTGTATAATGTTGCGTTTTCCTGGGCCGTACTCTTCGGTAAGTAATACATCGTCTGTATCACTCGACATTTAGAAATAATTATAAAGTAATTGTACTAGTGTTTATTACTGTAATTAAAAACATACGGTGTCCGTTTACTTTATTTTAGTAGTAATAAAAACCGTTGACATCATCATTAACCCGAAAATGGGCTATACAAAATAATCTATTATGTAAATATGAACTAAATCAATAATTATTCTATTAGTATTTTGTTATCAAGTGTTGTTACTTGTTTGATAACAGATATACTGAAAACAAATACTACTACTCGTTTTTGTGTGATAAGAATCTTTCCAGTGTTAATTTTTATCATTGTCCGGAGCCTGGTTTACAGCTAATAGGTACTATACATTTATACGGCCATCTTCTTGTTTGTATATTGATATAGTCACGATGTAGAGAAGATAAGGTGACACCACTCAACTTCTTATCAGTAAAAATCTGGGGTCGAATGCTTCAGGCATTTTGGTAGTTCAGCTTCGCTGTACAGGCGGCGCTACCATTCGCCCGGAGGCCGATATTTTCTATGCAGCTCGATAGTTTATGGTCAATAAACGTTTTATTTTTAATTTTTATGTTAATTATTCTTTATTTGGAGTATTTATTATTTTTATTATCTTATTTAATAATAATTAATTATTTTGTTAACTTTTTAATTGCAAAAAACTGTGTTTTTTAACGGCATTAAAGTAAATATTAGCACTGGAATATAGCTTTCATAATTAATTAAATTAAATTCATTCTGATCTAGTCTTTGTCCAGCAAAGTTATTTATTTTATTATTTTAGCTACTCTACTAATATGAAGAAGTATTCCAATACTAATTAGTCATTAGTATACATGGTCATAATTTCTAGATCAGAGTAATAGAATAAAACTAGAGTAGAGCAAATATCCAATAAATCCAAAAGATCTACATTAGTCAATGAATGTTATTTGTAAAAATGAATAAGAACAATTTAATAAGAACATTTTATAATTATATATGCCGCGGTTTATTATGTAGACACAAAATATAAACAATTATTTGTGATGCAAATATCATCTCTAGGAACACAATGTAGAGAATATGACTCTACTTCGTCCCTAGGAATTGCACGTATGGTTGGGCTTGAATTACACGGTAGTCGGGCTTTCGAAGACACTTAATTGGGGTTTATTAAAGTAATTAATATACACCTTACACAAGCGATGCTTATTTTTCGGGGGTAAATTAAAATAATCGGAAAAAATGTATTTATTGTTATGTACAGTGATGTACTAACAGGGGGGTTCGGGTTCAAACCCCCAAAGCCCAAAAAAAAAAATTGTGTTTTAAGTAACATATTATAGGCATTTATTATATAATTGTTACAATGTTACTCTCTGAAGTAATTTAGAACTTGAAGTAAATAAATAATAATTTAACAATTATATTTTAATTATTAAGTGTTAAGGGGAATTGCGGCTACCTAAGTAAGAATTAAAATATCTTCGGAACTATAAGTCCAGAAATTTTGTTATTTCTTGAAATCGTACTATCGAGTTCTTTTTCGAAAATAATATTCCAACTTAATTGATAATAACTAACCATATCCGGTTATGTAATATTATTTTTTTACACCCCCCCCTCCACTCCCAGAGCAAGATTTAATGTACGCCACTGGTTATGTAAAAGCGTGCTAAAGTGTGTTCACTCAAATGGATAAGGCTCCGTTTATTAAGTCAGAGGCATTATTATAAATTTTTCCTAAATAACTCTCCGATCCCTGTTTTAATATACCCTACTTTATAAGTCCCTTTAGTTACCATAGAATAAGCTTTATCTTGTAAAAATGTCTAGTTTCACAAATGGTTTTATAAGAAACTACATTTTTTTAAAGAAATTTTCGTTATTTTTTATAACAAATTATTCTTAAACCTTCAACAACTATAAACTCAATTTGAAAAAACTTCTCTGGTGCTTAAAATTCGATATAGGAGGGGGGAGGGAGGAGTTGAGGACAATTTTTTCTTGTACATAATACGTGTTATTATATTATATATCGTATAGAATAATTTCATATATATTGTTATAAAAGGATAGTCATCGTTCGACTATAAACGTCTTTTGTGGATTATACGAATATTGTGGTTTTTTAAATAATATATAATCTATAGTCCTGTAATAAAATAAAATTACATGTAATATATTTATATTTAGCAATAAAAATGACAGTAACGTATAATAATATGTAAAAAACCCTATTGGCTCCATGTAAAAGTCGGCCTTCGGGCGAATGGTGGCGCCTATCTACGTGACAAAATTATACTACCAAAATGCCGTAATTTCTTGACCCACTGATTTGGTTGGAGTGGCATCACCTTATTTTTTCTACATCGTGGATATAGTATAATAATTAGTTGTGCTAATAGATAATATCACGGTCTTTAAGACCGTGGATAATATTATTATATAATGATAATATTGATAATATACATTTTGAGTATTATAATAAACGCGAAGATGACCGCCACGTTTTTATTTACATTGGAGCTGTCCCTACTGATTTAATCTATACTGTCGTAACAGCGCAACAAAATACAAATAATGCAGTTTAGTTCCTAGGTGCCTTTATCAACAATTTTTTTTTTTGGACTATTTGTATTTTTTTACACTAAAAACGACAGTGAAGTCAGATTTTGGCGGCTTGACTTAGGCAAAAACTTATTTTACTAAATTGTATTTTTAAATATCCATTTCACAAATCACAATTAATTGCTTCTTTATAACACATTATAAATGTTTGCTAATAACACAGAATTACGATAATAAGTAAGCACCTCCCCCTTCCTCACTAAATTTTCCAATAGGTAAAATTATAGTTGTTTGACTCAAATATTATGTTATAACTTATAATCAATGTTTAATTTACCGCATAACTTATGCAATACCTGCGTCGCGGTTAACGGTGACACGGTCATGTGTAATGTAACTCAGCTGTGGCCTGGGGGGGTTCCGGAATGGTTAGTGCTTACACGACTTTGAGGCAGTCTGTATTATCAAATTGGTATCTATAAACCTTAGCGGTTACTTAGTGGTTAGTGCAGTTTGTTTATCTGTTTATTGTAATTTGCAAGGTATTTCTTGTGACAACTTTTAAGTATTCTTGTATTGTTCACGTTGGAATCAGTCAAGACTTAAGAAAACAAAAATGGCAGGTCGCGCATTACATTATGTATTCAAAGTAGCCGATAGAACAAAAACAATCGAGTTCTACAGAGATCTTTTGGGAATGAAAGTAAGTGAAAGTGATCAAACAATAACAGAATGTTTGATGTCGTGCCTACTGGCTACTTGTTGACTATAGTCAAGATAACAAAAAAAATGTAAATTAATATTTAATTAAGTATAATATTACCTATTTGAAGAGTCAATATACCTATTCCATTAACAATGTTGTAATTGGAGTAAAACATTTATTTTCATAATTTAATTTGTTTTCAAGTGTACATTGACTATAATGGGTATGGAGTCTTTTCTACAAGTCTATTATAGAATTCTGACTAGTGTTATATTAAACGTTACTTAATAAAAACCATTAATAGAACTACTAAAATATATATATTTTAAACGGAGCTCTAAATCCGAATTAACTGATGTAGGAATATAATATATAATATGTTATAACACTAGATTTATATTCTGTGGCTTGGCTCGATATAAATTGTTTTGCTCTATCAGTAAATATTATTTATACTTGTAGATTTTGAGACACGAGGAGTTCACTCAAGGATGTGAGGCTGCTTGTAACGGGTAAAGGCTTAATTTATTATTTGTTGTGCTTATTAGTGATCCATTAACAATATTTCATGTTGATTAATAACAGACCGTATGCCAATCGTTGGAGTAAAACCATGGTCGGATATGGGCCTGAAGATAATAATTTCGTGATTGAACTTACTTACAACTATAATGTTGACGATTACAAGTTAGGAAATGATTTCATTGGAATTACTTTAAAATCATCAACAGTCTTGGAAAATGCTAAAAACTTAAACTGGCCTGTTACATTTGAGGAAAATACACCTTATGTCCTTGCACCCGGAGGTTATAAATTTTATGTACTCGACGAACCTCAACCCATTGATAAAGGTATAAAGGAAAATAGTATACATATTTTTGGTATGTGGTCAATAGATTAGATCTTAAACAAATTATGTTATGATTAATAACAGAATTTGCAAATTATTTGGGAGCTCAATTTCAAAACCGAATAAAATACAAAATTGTCAGGTTTTAACTTATTTAAAACTAAGTTTAGTTTACAAACAGTTAAATCATCAATTATCTTAATATCTTTAATGCTTGTTTTAATATTTAATACTTTTTTTTTTAGATCCTGTTGTAAATGTTATATTGCCATCTACAAATTTGGAAAAATCTGTAAAATTTTGGAATGGTATACTCGGTTTGAACATTCTTAATCAGACATCAACATACGCGGAATTAGGATTTGGCGATGATCAAGCCAAACTTCAGTTAAAGGCCATTGGTAAGAATTAGCTAACATATGAACTATTAAGTTTTCTTATTAAGTTATTGTTATTCATGTTTTAAATTTCCTTGGAATGTATTTGTGTGAAATAATGGCAAGAAGTATGCATAAAGAATGATAAATAATAAATTGTTATTATTTGTTTTTTAGGAGAACCGATCAATCACGAAACAGCCTACGGAAGAATAGCATTTTCAGTTCCCACTTCAGATTTAGAACGTTACCAGGAGAACGCTAAAAATAATGAGTATAAAATCCTTACACCGTTGGTTACTTTAAGTACACCGGGAAAAGCATCAGTATCTGTTGTAATTTTTGCTGATCCTGTAAGTTTAAATAAAATATTTTCAATGTTGAACTTTGTGATAACCCTTAATAATAATATGCATCACTAAAATGGTTCATTGTTTTTAGGATGATCACGAAATCTGTTTTGTTGGAGACAAAGAGTTCAGAGAATTATCCCAGTTTGATCCAAGTGCTGAGAACGAACTGAATAAGTTCATTTCTAAAGACGAAGAACGAAAATTAAAACAAAAAAAAGTTACAAATTAAAAATGTTGTTATCGAGTTATTACTCACACAGTCATACACATCTTTATACGCATGTCATTCTTTAAACAAACTATTATATTGATGAGTTATTAAATACTATTAAACATCTTATTATGGATGTATAATATTTCTATATGGTGATTTTTGTAACACATTCGTCTCGTATTTTTATTTTAAATTTTTATTGGTACAATAATTATTGCTATTTGTCATAGAAATCACCTAATTTTTTAGGGAGTTATGTATAGGCAACTTAACACAAATTTTAGATTAATGAGGATTTTTTGATTGATGATTATTATTTTTTTTAATGTTTATCAACGGTTATCTGCATAATTATTTTTCTCCAAATATAACAGTTGTTTGTTATACATTTTTTAAATATTTTATTTATGTTTTACTCTTTAAATATTTGATATAAAAATAGAATAAATCAAAATCTTTTTTTTTTAAATGTTTTACTTTTATTGTGTAAGATGCACACTAATCTTCTGTCCTTTATTTATCTTTATGAAACTTCTTCAACTCATCTTAAGTGTACTGAAAATTAGGACCCACACTTCTACAAATATTATAAATATTACATTATAATATTTTAAGTTATTATACTTATTAGGTAATAATTATATTATTAATATTTAATAATAGTAATGAAATAATAATAATACATTTTTCTTTATATCGCTTTTTCAAGAGTAGTTTTGATACCTACTGGTCTGACAATTCGCAATGCTATGGAATTTGAACCCACACATTGACACATTGTATTAATTTTCTACATTTACTTTTTACAAAAGCTTGCACTATCTTCAATAATTAATCGCAGGGTATGCATCCAGGCAAAATTAATCCTTAAAACTGATTATGCAAATAAATTATTGGGCTCATTTCAATAGCGGTCCAAGACAGGTTACATACAATTTTATCTATCAGAGGTAGCGCATGTGCATGGTAAGGAAATGCTGTACGTATCTATCGTTTCCCCAGCAGTCTTCAAAGTCCAAATTAAAATTGAAATCAATAAAAGTGAAACATTTTCTTGTTTGTACTCCGCAAAAACATGTTGAAAAAGAACTGTGTTAATACAAGAAAGAAGATCAAGATAATATATCCAAAACATTTATCTTCAAAATACATAAAAAAAACTTGCTGAAGAATTGTTTATGATTTAAAATACTAGTTACAATGAAGGTACTGCGTAATTTATTCACCTGGTTCAATGTTCAAGTAGGTGTAGTCTACAACTTTGAAAACACAGGCACGAAAATCAAAAACACACAGTTCATGAATTTAATACTTGATCTTCTCTCTCAAAAAATTGTAAAATTGTATAAAAAAAAAGTAGTTAGGGGTGAATTTTTCTATTTTGATTTTTGAGACATTTGGCGAATTTAAGGTCTAACAATTTGATTGAACCACAAATAACTGAAAATAGATAATATATAGTAAATATATAGTACAATTTTGTATAGTCAAAAATAATATCTTAATTATAACATAGTAAACATTAGTCATTTACATTTTTCTTACAACTTTTTTTATTATACAGCGTACGCTGTATTATAGTTGTACAGCGTTGCTATTTTTTTTGAGCCAGTTCTACTAGCTTCTTTAGGTTCATTTTAAATTCTTAACAAAATCCTACCTCTTCGTTAACTGTTTACAATTCTGTGTTTGTTTGTAGCAAACTTAGACGGCGGTAATGTACCTACTCGTGCGCCTTCTATACTTTGGGATTACATCTATATAGTTACTCTATTTGAGAATATTGTTGTATACAATTTGACGTGTAGAAGAACCGCGCGTCGTTTTAAAACGTTATATGTAGGTATAATATAACAAAGTGGAGGTAAAGTACTAATAAAGATTTGAGATTACAACGGCAGAGCGCGCGCTCCAGGATGAAACGCGTCCTGACAGGACATTTACCTCCAAGCGGAAGGCACCGGCTTGGTCCCTAAAATCGATTATTCTCCCCCCGCTGAACGTCCCGTAGGATAACGCACAGTAATTGTTGCGACGTTGTTATTGCTATTGTTGCTGGAATCCTGTGAAAAAAGAAACTCTACGGACATGGGCTTCTATAACATTTAATAATTATTATTACCTAAGGGTGTATTGAGTATTTTTCACTGCGTCAGTCTAAGTATATATATACACCAATTTGCTTGTGTTTTTTTGGCAACATTTTATTCACTCGATGACGTTATTTCAGCGAGCGTTTGCTTGTCAAAATGAAACGACAAAACGTCCGAACCCTGTCGTTGGTGGTTTGCACATTCACCTATCTACTAGTAGGAGCAGCCGTATTCGACGCCTTAGAATCGGACCAGGAGAGAAGGCGTTGGAACCATTTACTGGGTAAGCATATCGACGTTCTTTAATTCCCATCAACCCGGAGATTACATTATTTTTTTTTTTTTTTTGGGGGGGGGGGGCTAGCATTTTTCTACCTAAAATGACCCGCAAGGGATTTACACTCCTAAATTATTAATATTATATAATACTATATAACATTACAAATGTAAAAATAAAAACCATAATAATTATAATATAATATTTGTATATTATTTTTAAAGTAAATACATATTGTTTTAACTTTTAAGGCAATGTACCTGTAATTCTTAGATCCAAAGATATCAATTATTTTTTCTACGTCAATACTTAAATCGTTTTCAATGTACAATATGGATAAATTATTAAACCTGTCTTGCAACATACTAGTACGTAACCATGTCTTAAATTTGAGTATAAAAGTAAATTATTACACCCGTTTTTTTTGTTAACATACATTTTTAAAAATAAGCGTGTTTACTTTCTTATCTTTCCGCGTTTTATGCCACTAAAATTATTGTAATTTTTAATAAAATATATTTGTTCGTTCCTCAAAATCGTGTACCACCACCGTCGGACGCAATGCATTAACAGTAGCTCTAAAATGTTGGAAGGCAGGAAGGAAGAGGGAGAAAGAGGTCTTAAACCTCACCATAATATTACCTGAAAATGACCCAAGAATCTAGAATTATAAATGGAACCTACGAATAATTAGGATAGAGGAAAACATAAAGCTACACTTGTTTCTTCTGCATAGATTATAGTCAGGCGATTACTTGCATATTGGAAGTAAAATGTGGTAAATTAAACCATAATGATTGACTTTACTTGATTCTATACAGTTTTTTTTTTTACTACATTATGTTGGAAAATATTGAAACGTCTCTGGTACATTAAGATATCAGTTGATAAAAACATTACCTACCGATTATTTATTTTTGCATCATCTAGTGTCCCAAATAGGAAATACGTTTTTGATTTTCTACATTATAATTATCGTTTATTATCATTGTCAAAGTGTTTGAGAGAGCTTAACTAGATTTACTGAACGGCGTATGTCAGTTTATGTTAGTAAATGTAATTCTACAAATTTCTGTTGTCGTAAAACAGAAACCTTTACTTGCAATGCTATAATATTAATGGTAGTAATAGATTATAGTGGTAGATAGAATAAAAAATCTTGGTAATCCTTTGTTAATTTAAAATGTCATTGTACGACTTTCAAGATATATTCTTTGTAACGTATTAACTTAATTATTAATGTTTATGCTTTTATTTATTTTTGGTTTATAGAACTTAAACACGCATTGGTCAGCAGATACAACATAAGCCCCGTCGACTACCGGATGATGGAAGTGGCCATAATCGAGAACAAACCTCACAAAGCTGGACCACAGTGGAAGTTTGCTGGAGCTTTTTACTTTTCTACAGTCGTCTTGGCCATGATCGGTATTCACACATTTTTACTAGTCATACCTGTATCAAAAAAAAAAAAAAACTGACAAATTTTTGGCTTGAAAAAAAATACTATTTAAAGAACATAATATTCTCAAAGTCGTGATAACATTTATACGAGCTAGTTCAACGCCATACCAAATAATATAAATACAAATTTATTATTGTTTCTTATTATTTATTCAGAGATGTTTAAATGTTTATTTATACATTCATAAAGGCGCTTAATTACTTTTAAAGGTTCTTTTTAAATTATTTTTTTATGCAAGTACTAATATTTTGTAAAATGCCCTACACATTTTTAAGGGCTTTACAAAAGATAATGGTATATATTAAAAACTTTCTGGCTAAAACAGGGTACGGCCATTCCACTCCGGTGACGATTGGAGGAAAAGCGTTTTGCATACTGTACGCCATGGTCGGTATTCCTTTGGGCCTAATCATGTTCCAGAGCATCGGTGAACGTCTTAACAAATTCGCTTCAGTAGTGATCAAAAGGTACATAGTCATACAGTTATAATGCCGGACTCGGGGTTTAATTTTGAAATCGGCATTCCGGAGCAAATGGAAGGCAAGTGCATCCGTGGAGGACTACGTCTGACCTCCTTGATGACAACATCAAATATAAAGTTCAAATAAAAAACACAATTTATAACATATACCTACTCTTTTAAATATAACAGGAGTTATAAATTTAAAAGATTTATTTAACTTACAAATCTATAAATATTATTAAAACATATCTAAAAAAAATAGTTTTGTTTTTCTTTAAATTTTCTTTAATTTACAAATAAATAATAAAAACTAAAGAATTTAAATCAACAAACAGAATAAATAGGATATATTGATTATATAAATAATAAGCGCTCTAAGGTTATACCTAATGATTTTTATCTATATAGTAGATAAAAATCAGTAGTATATTATTTTTATAATACTAAATAACAATTATGTTGTTACAAGAAAAAACATTAAAAAAAAAACAATTAAAAATGAATATGTACGCTGCGTTTCCCTTAATAATAAAATAAGGGGGTACGCTACAAAAAAAAAAAAAAAATAACAAGAGTAGCTCCGTCCCATGCGTCTCCCCAATTCAACCACTGGTATTAATTAGTTGTATAATTTTTATTTTAGGTATGATATACCTATAACTATACTTTAGTTATTCACACTCCATTGATCAATTTAGGTACCTAGTACGAATTAATGAGTTACGTATGGATAGTACTTATTTTTTGAATCGTGGTTGATTTAACCAATAATGTGTGTTTAAATAGATGTTTATGATTGATTAAACTGAAAACTCAGACTTATATGATTTGTTTTGTGCAGAGCCAAAAAGTATTTTAAGTGCAAAAAAGAGGAAGCCACCGAAATGAATCTTATGTGTGCCACTGGACTTCTCTCGTCTGTAATCATTACCACCGGGGCAGCTGTGTTTTCTAAGTACGAGGGATGGAGTTACTTTGACAGTTTTTACTATTGTTTCGTCACACTCACCACCATCGGTTTTGGAGACTACGTTGCGCTACAGGTGATACTAATAAGCAACCATTACCAGCAAAAGGACAGTAAATAGTGCAGAAAAAAACACTTGAGTGTGTATTAGAATAACAAAAACGTTATAAGAGTTATAACGTTATAAATGACTATAAGAGTCCTACAAGTTAAAAATGATATTAGAAGTATAAAATATTTTATTAGACAATTATCTAATAGTCAACCTATTGACAAATTCAAAGTATTTGAGGGGTTTGAATTTTATATTTTTTTCCTCGACTTTGGTTTAAAACAATTTTGTTCATACAATATTTTTATTTAGACACTTGTTTGTCTATCGATTTATGGTAAATCCGGATTTAGCTAGTCCCGTCTTCTACTTGTTATAACAACAATGAATTAGTATAAAAAATACTAACGATATTCTAATTCTAAACTACATAATTATTAGTGTGTGTTTAATAATTATTGTGCGGGGTGGCCAGTTGTTTTTTAAAAAAAATAAACATTAGTGCAAGCGATTAAACAATTTTTCGTAAAAAACCCATTTGATGAGAGTCGATGTTAAAAAAACGTAGGTATATCAAATGTTGTTATAAAAATTAGTTTAAAGAATTAAAAAAATTATAAATTATATTATCTTAAAATTCAAACCTGTGTGGGTTCGCATCGTAAATAACACTTACACAATATTAACTGATAAAATAAAACAGGTTGTGAACAAAAATTTATTTGGGGTGTTGAACATTGTTTACATGTTGCTAGTAACCAGACCACATATTCGACGAGGATGGGATTCGAACCCACGCGTGCAGAGCACATTGGATTAGCAGTCCAACGCCTTAACCACTCGGCCACCTCGTCTGGTGGTAGTTTATGACTAAATGTTTACCTTGTAACACTAAATTGCACTTTAAGGTCCAATACAATTTTCACCGACATTTATAATATTTATAATTTGATTATATTATGATGTCACGATATTTCAATCAGATGGTTGCATATTAAATTATATTTAAAATACTTATTTGGGCGACATTATTATTGTGTGCCGAGAATAAATTGACGATTTCTTACAACCAAAATAAAATTGTATGTCTTTGGTTAGTACATAGGAGAACGTTTTAATCATTATATCAGTTAATTTAAGGAATTTTTGTATTTATTCACAGAACGACCAAGCATTGACCACTAAGCCGGGATACGTGGCTTTAAGCCTGGTTTTCATTCTGTTCGGACTTGCGGTAGTGGCAGCCAGCATTAACTTGTTGGTACTCAGATTCATGACCATGTAAGTGCATTGCTCGCTAACTGTTCTAAACAAACAATAGTAATATTTAAAAGGTAATAAATATCACAACATTTTGAGCCCAATTAATTATGCGAAATATATATATATATATATATATTTTTTTTTTTTATTTAACACTAAATAATACAATCTGTAAATATTATTTTACAATATAGTTATGATAGCTGATAGCAATCCATAAAGAGCTCCATAATATATATAAGTATATTTATTTAATCGTTTTTGCTAACATAACGATTAACAGTAAATAACTAACCTGTCCAAACAGTGGCGTAATTTGATCATGTTTGTGGGGGGGGGGGGGATAAAAAAAATTGCATACATTTTACTTATCACCCCATGCATCCCCCAATTTTTTTTGTGTGTATACCATTGGAATATATAAAACGTCAAGGGGGGTACAACACCCAAATCCCCCCCGTAATTACGCCACTGTGTCCAAACAAACCGTAATTTTATGTGTTAAAGAATCGTTCTTGTTAAAATCATTCAAATATTTCTTTGTTTACGTGTACTTGTGATGACAGTATAAAATAATATGGAATTCAAGGAGTAAAATTATACATTAAAATTTAATATTAGATGAACTGTCTGTATACTTAAAGTAAGTCTAACTAATCACTAAAAAATATTTCATTGTGTAAACATTTATTTCATAAATTAATAGGAGATTTCTGCGTCCATTCAATCTGTATTTTTCTAGACGTCATTTATTTGTATTTAAATATTATACTACACTAACAACTTAGAGAAACAATAAGGTCCCACAACATAGACAATCTTAAAAAAATATACAAAGTATACCAGAGCTAAACAAATTTTAACACTGTGTCGTTTTTATAAAAAACGTAAAAATATTAAGACAATATTTTTGAAATGTTAACACAAATTTAATTTATTTACAGATTGTAGAACAATTTTTTAAGAAATCCGTCAAAGATATATTTCAAAGTTGAGAATACTACTTTGCCCCTATACTTTTTATGTTATAAATTGGTGGACGTTGTATAGCATTACAATCGATTGTTTAAAACAAATTATATTAGATAAATTAAAACATTTCTTTGAAAGTACTAAAAATTAAAACATTTGTATTTACAAGGTAAAAAATTCCAAGTACCAATTGAATGTTACGTAACGTCTGTCCATAATTTGTTTTTAGATTTGTTTTAATCTTTTGATTTTATTTTTTAAAATTAAATTTCGATCAAAGACTTTTTACCATAAAATAATAAAGATGGGTTTTCTGTGAAAATTTCAATTTTTACAATCTGATCACTACCTTGAATTTATTGTTGCCAAAATAAACGTATAAACTTGACAATACTCCAAAGTTCACCAATTTTTTAATTTTTTATAAGCTAGGGGGACTTTTCCCCTAAAGTCATATCCTTATTTTTTTTCTACCCACCCAACTCAATTGTTTTAAGTCGGATTTTGAATACGACATTCAAGAAAGGTTGATATTTTGAATGAAATGTGAAACATTTTACCCTGATATCCTCTTTTGGTCTGAACCACGTTCTTTACTATCACCTTTACTTCTTAAAATCATTCAGTCAACACTTCCACAAACTATTTAAACAGTTTGGTTTATTCTCATTGTCCCTTTTTGATTTCTTTTCTCTTTGATTCATTAACTACTTCCTACTCGTTTTTGATCATTTCTAATACCATCTGATTTTTTTAGGAACGCCGAGGACGTGCGCCGTGAAGACAACGAACTGCAAGGGGTATCTCAGCACGTGATTACATTGGACGGGGAAGTGGTGACCTCAGTGAACGGCAAATTACTAGCCGGTCACACCGTTTCTAAGGGCACTAGCAACGACGACATGGACCAAGTGTCGGTATGCTCATGCACTTGCGTTGGAGACCCAGAATATGATTACAACAGGGATATTTTACCCGTGGAACAGGAACCAATCAACTTACTGTCAGACGAGTACATCGTTGGGCTCAAGAGAGTTTCTATATAAACTATAATAAACGTTATAATACAATGGACATTTTATCAATTTGACGTACGACGATAGTTTTTCGTTAAAAATTAAAATGTTATTATTACTTTTTTTACTTTTCTCACAATTCGCCAATTACATTTATATATATATATATAATATACATAATTAACTAACTAAAAATAATTTTAAAATTGTGCTACGAAAACGAAAATTAAACATTTTTTTAGGTATGTTATGTTCAAAATAGAAATATGTGTTTTTGTATAATAAAAAAATACTATTTATTGAAAAATTGGCTATACAATGCGCCTTAACAAATGCTAGTGTAGAGGCCCCTTAAAATAATAATAATCATCATTTTAACCTCATGTTAGGTTACGCTAGCCATTATTAGAGTAATCCCAACTAATTATACTGAATATGTAGTTTTAATATACAGTACCTGTTACAAGTTATTAAAGATTTAACTATGAGGATATAAAAAAATAATATGATTATTGATAATAATATTATACTAGTTGTGACTTATTACATGGTTTTCTTTAGCTCGCTAACACGTATGTACGGGTATTTTTCAAATCTTGCAAAATTAATTGAACCCACTTCCAGATGTCGTATAGGGCTGAAACATGGCACAGACACTCATCTTAGATGACAATATAATACCCTGTAATCATATTGCGACTCGGACATCAAGGTCGCCCTAAACAGGGTCAAATGTGGGGGTCATTTCACTAAAATTTCATTTTTTCCCAAATCTTCCAAATTCAATTTAGTAATCTATTTAGCAATTATTAAATACCTTTAATAGGAATAAAAAGTAAAAATATTAAAAAAAAACTTTTGTAAAAACATGCTTTTCTAAAAAAAAAATAGTAAAAAGTGAACTAAAAAGTAAAAAATAATTTTATTGCAAGAACAATTTACCAATCAATTGTAGCATATTTTATTCAAAATGCCAATTACTTTGAAAACTACCGAAAATTAACTACAATTTTAAATAATGTTAAACATCTTTAATTTTTGACTAAAAAGAAAAGCGTGGGGCCTATTTAACAAAGTCCAAATTAATTGAGTTAAGTATTATGAAATGTATGTGTCACACACAAATATTAAACTAAATTTAAATTACAAAAGAACTTACAATACAAAATATTATCTGATACATTTATGAGGGACTTTGTTGAATAGGGCCCACGCTTTTCTTTTTAGTAAAAAATTTAAAATGTTTAACATTATTTAAAATTGTAGTTAATTTTCGGTTGTTTTCAAAGTAATTGACACTTTGAATAAAATATGCTACAATTGATTGGTAAATTGTTCTTGTAATAAAATTATTTTTTACTTTTTAGTTCATTTTTTACTATTTTTTAGAAAAGCATGTTTTTATTAGTATATTATTTAAAAGTGTTAAAACTTGAACTATTTTAACAAAATGTATATAATCTTAATATAATCCATCTGTAATAAAGTAAAAACATATCTACTCTTTTCAAAAAATGTTTTTAAATAGATTTTTTGATAGTAAAACTGCTATTGAAACATAACATAATTTATATGTATAATAAAATAGTTTATTTTAAGCACAGACTGGTACGGTAACCATCCCAAGCGTACTTCTCCCATTTGGGAATATATGAGGGTTTGTAGGATGTAATCATAATAATGCCATGTGATTTAGCAAGACAAAATTAAACATAAGCTCTGCTAAAATCGAAAATACCATAAGAACAAACAAGAATATAAATTAAAGCATGTCAATAAGGTCTTGGACAAGAAATGTGGAAAAAATCTTTTGTAATACAAAAAGGTCCTCGTTTTCACTTCTCTTCACTCTCGCCTTATAACTAGTCTTCTTAAGTAGAGTGATTGCAAAAAGTAGTTCTTAATTGGACCAAAATATTTTTGAAAATTCACCCTAAAACTGTAAATTTTAGCAGGCCTCCCCATGATTTTAATGTCATCAAATTATATTTGTTGGGGATAAAAAATTGGTTGAAACAATTACAAATATCTTTATCGTAAAGTACGGGAGAAATGTTAAAGAACTTGTTGTTCTTCTATCCTAAGCGACTACTTTTTATTTGTGTAATAATTTAAAGAAAACGGGGGGCCATAAAAAAGTTTGACTTTCGAATTTTAGATGGGAACACATGACGTGGAATTATAGCTCATCATTTTTTGTTTAAATTATAGAAGATCAGTGAAGTAAGTAATTGATTTTAGTATTTCTATATAAGTTTCTTAAAGTTATATTTAACAAAATTGTATTTTTAATCATTGATTTTAATAGTTTAGAGAATATTGTAATTAAAAATACACCATTCATTATTTACCATTCTTCTTCTTTAGTATTCAATCCTGAGATTGGTTTGTAGCAATTCTCCATTCTTCCCTGTTACTTGCCTTCCTCTTTGTCTCTTCATAAGAAATACACCCTTGGTCCTCTATTATTTGTTGTATATACTCCATTCGTGGTCTTCCCCTAGCATTTTTCCCTTCTACGCAGCCTTCTATAATTAATCCTAGCAACCCACCATGTCTCAATACATGTCCAATCCATTAATTTCTCCTTTTCTTGATACTACTCCATATAATTCTTCTCTCGGACATTCTTTCTAATACTTCCTCGTTTGTTACCATGTCCATCCAACTTATTTCGAGCATACTTCTGAAACACCACATCTCAAAAGCTTCTATTCTTCTCCGCTCTTCTTTGGCAATTGTCCACGTTTCGCTGCCATACAGCATTATACTCCATACGTATGTCTTCAGAAGATTTATTCTGGTGAGTATGCTAATATTTTTTGAAGTAAAAAGTCCTCTTTTTTTGATAAATGCTATCTTAGCTTGGCATATTCGCTTTACTATTTCTTTTTTACTTCTGCCATCCTTACTTACTATGCTTCCCAAGTATGCGAACTCTTCTACTTGCTGTATTTCTTGGTTTTTTTGCCGATGTATTCTTGTCGTAATATTATTGTTCCTGCTGCATACAAGAACTTTGGTCTTTTTCGTATTTATTTTCATGCTCAGTTCATTGAGCAGAGTTTCTTCCATACACCTCAGCATCCTTTGCAATTCTTCTTCATTTTCAGCTATGACTGCTATATCGTCTGCGAACCGTAGCATATCGATTTTCCTGCCATTTATCTTTATACCCAAATGTATTTTCTCTCTTATTTTATCAATTGCCTCCTGGATGTATGCATTGAATATGCTAGGCGAGAGAGTACAACCCTACCTTACTTCTTTTCTTATGCGTGCTTCTTCCTCAGTTTCACCAAATCGTATTACAGCTGTTTCCTTCTGGTATAGTTTAAAGAGTAGTCTCCTTTCAGTGTATTCTATACCCGCTCTTTTAAGCATCTTGAACATTATTGCCCAGTTGACATTGTCGAACGCTTTTTCTATATCAACAAAAGCTATGTATGTAGGCTTATCTTTTCTAATTCTTTTTTCGATAATTATTCTTAAAGCCAGTATTGCTTCCCTTGTACCCATGTTTTTTCTGAACCCAAACTGGTCTTCTGACAATATGGCTTCGATCTTCTATTCCATTCTTCTTGACATAATTATTGTCAGTATTTTTGACACATTTACCATTATAAAAGCAAAAATCCATCTAATATAACTGCCGTTATAATAGAAAATGATTCGACAACATTAACTATTTTAATTAACCTCTTATCGAAGTTATACACTACTAAAATAACTGAAACAAAATATGAAACATTTTTATTATTAAGAGCCTCAGTGACGGTCATTAATAAAGAACACAAATATATAAGAGATGAAGAAATGAAAGACGATACACTTTACGAATGATTACATGTGTGTACTACTTCAACTGACAGAGAATTGTGTTATAATTATAAATTATGCTTCTTATACTCTTCAGTACTGTAGTATAGTTTTCTGCGGAGAAGTATCTCATATGTGTGGTTTTTAAACGTTATGAATACAAAAAAGTGGAGGGAAAATTCTGATAAAGATTTGAAATTATAACGGCAGATCGCGCTCTCGAGGATGACAGGACACTTTTCCCCAAGCGAAGGGCGTGTATCCATTATCGATTGTTTTCTCATTTCGGCCTACCGTGGGGTGACGCACAGTGATCGTCCAGATATTTTAACAGCTATTATTCGTGAATTCGTGTGAAAACTCTACAGACATTGGATTCTATACTATTTAACAATTAATAAACGTACGTTACATATCTTTTACTGACTACATTGCCGGCTCTGCAAATTGTTTCGTGTAAGTATACAAACACCATTCGACGTACATTGCACCAGCCCCGCCATTTATGAAATTTTCAACTTTTTCAAGTGCCACGAATAAGCATGTAATTAGCATAAATTTGCAAGCCTATATTCAGAATTCGCATGATATCGCTTTAGCTAGAATAACAAAAATACCAAGAGCGTGGCTGGCGAAACGATAGTATGATAAACGTGATTGAATTAATTGTTAAACATTAATCAGCGACTAAAATATTTCTATTTAATCAGACAGTATTAATTAATTTTACTAACTTTGTTTTACGCATGAGTTATGCCATACCTGTAATTATATAATAGCAGATATTCGTACTCCATTAATCAATTTAGGTACCTAGTACAAATAAATGAGTTATTTATGAATAGCACTTATTTACCTCGTGATTAAACGTCAATAATGATTGTTGAAACAATTAGGTTATTTTATCACGGTTTTGTAGTTTTTTTTTTAATGGTTTATTTAACCATCGTTTTTATATTCAAACAAATGGATTTTTAATCAAATGCGAACTCAGATTATTGTGATTCGGTTTGTGCAGATACAAAAAGTGTTCTACTGGCAAAATGGAGATAACTAAACCAAAGACAAAACAAGCCACCAAAATGAACGAATTCGCCTTCACCGGCGGGTTTTTAAACAGCAAGTCATTTTTCATCATGTCAATAAGTGCCCAATCGTTCATTATGATACTCGTCACGATCTCCATTGTTTGTAAAAACCGTGGGATACAGATAAAAGTAAGAACACCTACCGGTTAAAATATTTTAATAAAATATTTGATTATAAAAATCAAACCTAAACTATAAATCAACAAGTTCGATTTATACAAAAATTCGAATTTTATATTATTCATACACTATTTACACAACTTTCGGTTACTACCATTTAAGTAGTTTGACTATTCTACCAACGTTTCGGAATATTTGCACATTAAATCATCAGGGCTGTGGTTCGATATTGCTTCTACCGTTATTTCTTGAAGTCTACATATATATTTCTCTTGGTTTGCTTCTAAGATTTAAAAAACAAATTCTTGGTTATTTTATTATTATTTGTGACCGTCCATTAAAAAGGTACCTTATATTTCCTAAAAAAATTGTTCAGAAGAGCCAAAGCTAACATTTTACTAGCTAACTTATTAGAAGCTCTAACTTTAAAACTTCTTTATTTTGAACGGATCGAGATGTCATTGCGATCGAAACATCATTGTAATCAGTAGCAAATCAACTATACCAAAAGCAAAACACGGTTTCTGAAAAACGGAAGATAAGTTACGCTTTCCCATAGACGGTCACATTTTACCGTCTCAATAGTTCAACTAGTATATAATAAAATAATAAACGTTTAAATGAGGGTTTTAAGTTTAAACATTAACAACAGTAACGGTTAAATTGAGTAGAATGTTTGTATTATTTACAGTATGAAGATTTTTTCCAAATTAATATGAGAAATGGATGTATTCAGATCGGACTCTTAATGGTCTACGTCATCTTTACCATGTTTGTACGAAGATATATTGAAGTAAGTCCATCGCCTTTTTTTATTTCACACTAAATATAACAAGCTGTATAAGTATTATAATATTACAAGAGGTTTTAGAGAAAAGATCACGAATAGCTTGTGTAGAGGAGCCACTCACAGATATTCAATAGTCCATACATATAATTAACTATTTTTTGACTTGTAACAAACATGTTTATTAAAAAACATACAAAATTCCAAATACTATTATTGAATGTTTCACAACACCTGCCCATAATTCGTTTTTAGATTTATTATTATCTTAATTTGTTTAAACAAATTGTTATCAAGAACTTAATACCTTTTATTGACAAAGACTGATATTTTTGTGAAAATGAAATTTTGTACAATCCGATCACTACTTTACATTTATCGTTACCAAATTAAAAATATAAACCTGACAATACATTAAAGTTAACCATATCCTCTTTTTTTTTACCCACCCAATTCAATTGTTTTATATCGAATTTCGCATACGACATTCAAAAGGGATTGATATCTTGAATGAAATTTGAAAGCATTTCATTATTGGCCATCTTTATTACTCTTATCGTTTCGATCGAATGGTTCGGTCACCACGTATACAAAATATTCAAACAGCTTGGGTATTCTCATTTTTATATTTTTATTCTTTGATTTATAAACTACCTCCTACTCGTGTTTGGTCACTCCTAATCACAACTGGTTTTTTTAGGGATCTGATAAAAAAGAAGAAGAAGAAGAAGTAGAAGAAGAAGAAGAAGAAGAAGAAGAAGAAGAAGAAGAAGAAGAAGAAGAAGAAGAAGAAGAAAAAGAACAAGAAGAGCCATATTAATAACTCCTATCAACTTAATGCCTGACGAGCCCATAGTTGGGTTCGAAATAGTATCAATATAAATGATAATAAAGCTTATTCTATATTAGAAATTTGATTAATTCAACCTACAACGCTAGTTTTCTTATAATAAATTCTCATAACTCGCCGATTACATTTTTAACTATCACTTAACGTAATAATTATCATATTAATAAACCCTTGTAAGGTAATGTACCTGACGTATAAATTGAAAATTTTTAACCTTTACGGTTTTTCTTATAAAAACATAAATGCTGTTTTTACGTTAAATTAATTACTGACCCATCTATCTTTTTTCTGATGACAGTAATTGTGAATATCGAGATGTCAAAGAACTGTGCTTATTCATTTTAAAAACTAAAAAAAAAATTGCTCGCAAGTTTGAACATAATTATTCTACATTCTATACTCATATCATTATATAGCATTTATTAACAATTAGCAATTATATAAATGTTGCATTATTATTAATTAACAGTTATACAGTCTTTATTACATCCAAATAATAATTATATTAGTAAAAAAATGTAGTGACTAGTTTTAGAAAATTAAGTAAAACTATAAAATAATAATTAATTTGAATAAAACAATAAATTATAACATTTTTTTTGTATTTTTCCGTTTATACCTACTTTCTTTGTTTCAAAATTAAAAGAAAACGGCCGGACATGAAAAACGATTATTGTAATAATTAGTTTTACTTATATATTATAATATAAGTTCTCATAAAATAATATCCAGCAAAATTTAATTTAAAATAATCGATTTTAATGATATACAGCAAATATTAAAATTTAAAATACATCATTTATTATTTACTAGAATTGTATTAACCATACCGAGTTCCGGTTAAATAGGTATAACCGCTGTATAACTTATACATTTGATTGTAAAAAGAAATATTTTGTAGAATACATTTTTTTTTTATAAATTATATGTTACATATCTTAAAAAGTACATTTTTAACTATCCCTCAATGTAATATAATTATATTAATAACCTCATGTAAGATAACTGGCGTGTTAATTGCAAATTTTTAATTTATGAATTTTCTAATAAAAAAACAAATGCTGTTTTTACGTTAAATTAATCATTCCGACAAATGATAATCGCCCTATTATATACCTCTGAAATTAACTCTGAATTATATAATATGTTTTAAATATTGCATTATTATTAAATAATAACTATACAGTCTTTATTACATCCACATAATAATTAAATTAGTAAAAAGATGTAGTGACTAGTTTTATGAAATTAAGTAAAATTATAAAATATTAATTAATTTGAATAATAAACACATTTTAAAAAAAAAAATTGTATATTTCCGTGTATACCTATTACTTAAAATCTGTTATATTAAATCCTATTAATATTCCTTTTTGACTGGGGTTTAACATCCAACATAGATTAAAAAAGTAAAACTAAATGTTATGATAAATAATTCGTCTGAAAAATTACGTCTAGAAATCTGAGGGAAGAAAACAGTTAGATCTACATATCGACGCTATTTAACTTCCATAAAAAGATATCCATCAAAATAAATTAACGGGGTAATATTGTTTATTTTGTTGAATTAACTATCAACTTTGACCTTATCACTAATTGACCTGAACACCATAAGATAAAAATAAGTATTAAAAAAAAAAAGTCCATATAAATATTTGTAATTGACTCTACCTTCTTAATACTTAACAATCTATTCAAAAAGATTAAACTTGATATTATAATAATTAAAAGCTTGGGATAAAGGGTTTAACTAGATTTACTGTACTGTTTATGTTTTTTATAGCCAATGCACACAAAATTTCCAATAAATACAACATAAGCCACGCCGACTATCTTATATGGGAAACGGACACAATGAAGCACATAAATTCTGGATTGCAGTTTACCGATACATTATTTGGTGATGTATTTTTATTGAATTAACTATCAACTTTAATCTTACCACTCATAAATTAAACAAAATACGATTGAAAGAAGTGTTAAAAAATTAAGAATATATTAAGTTTTCTATAAAAAAAAAAAAAATGCATATAAATATTTGTAATTGACCCTACCTTTTTAACGCCATATTCATAAAGAAAAAACTTGATATTGTAATTAAAAGCTATGGAGAAAGGGTTTAGGTATAAAATGTATAAAAATATTTTTAAAATAAATTCCACCTAATCTTTCTGTCTTTTTTGCCATTCTCATAATTGTGTACTTTTAAAACAATATTTATCCATTCTTCTTTAATACGTACCACAGCTGTCGGACGCAAAGCTGCAACAAAAGCTCTAAAATAAGAGCCACCTTGTTCATTCAGTTTTAATTATAATCAGGGGTTTACTTAGATATTGGAAGTAAAATGTGGTGAATTAAGCCATACGGAGAGCATAACTGGATGTACTGAATAGCGTATCTCAATTTTTGTTAGAAATCATACGTAAAAAAATTAAAAAATTTCTCTTGTCAGAAAACAGATACCTTTCATTGCAATATTGTAATATTAATAGTAGTAATATATTACAGTGGTAGATAAAATTAAAGATATTGGTAATTCTTTATAAGTTAAAAATGTAATTGTATGACTTTCAATATATATTCTTTGGGACGTACTAACTTAATTATCAATGTTTATACTTTACATAGTTTGTAATAAAATGGCCAGAAGATGCAACATAAGCCACGTGGACTACATCACATTAGGAATTTTCTCAATAAGAAAAAATTATTCTGGTTGTTCGAGTGCCGAATTTGGTGATTTCGTTGCGTTGACTTATGGACAGCAATTGTTTTGGATATTCCTCATATTGGTGGGGATAGGCCTCATCAAGTACTACAAAATCATTGAACGTCTTAAAAAGTTCACTTCCGTAGTGATCAAAAAGTATGTTTTACAATTATAATTCCTTGACTGTATTTTTATTAGATACAGTATAATATATATTACATGATTGAAACTATATGTTTGTAATAGACAATCATACTGTGACGATTGCAAGCTTAATATGGCACATTCCCCTCCCCCCCCCAATATAATTAATCGTAATCATAACATATTTATGACGAATGTGAGTAAATTTATTGTTAATCATTAATCAGCGATTATCAAACAGTATTAATTGTATTTAATGTTTGAATTATGACATACCTGTTATTATATATTATTAGATATTCATCCTCCATTAATTTAGCTATCTAGTATAAATTAATAAGTTATATATAAAGAGCACTTATTTACCTGGTAATTAATGATTAATAATTATTGTTGAAACAATTAAGTTATTTTATTACGATTGTGTAGGTATTTTTTATATCGTAGTTAACTGAACCAACGTTGGTTTAAATGGATTTTTAATCGACAAAAGTCCTACTGAGAACTCATATTATTATGATTTCGTTTGTGCAGAGCTCAAACGTGTTTGAATTGCAAAAAGGAGACAACCACCGAAATGAACCAAATCACCGAGACCGTTCCGTTTTTCAGTGACGTGGTATGGCGTTAATTGGACATTTTTTACTATTGTTACGTTCTACTCACCATGATCGGACTTGTGGCCTGCGATGTGATAAAGGTGAAATAATAATAATAATAAAGTATTTCTAGTTGAGGTACAGTAAATAGTGTAGAGAAAAACACTTGAGGGTATATTAGAATAACAAAAACTAATATAAAAAAACTACAAGTTTAAAATGATTATTTGAAGTACTAATTATTTTAATAAAAAGTTTAAAAGTCAAACCTAAACTAAAAATCAACAAATTCAAATTATACGACAATTTTAATTTGATATTATTTTTACACTATTTACACAACATTCAGTTACTTTCATTTGAGTGGTCTGACAACGTTTCGGAATACTTGTACATTCTATCTTCAGAGTTGTGGTTCGCTGTGCTCGTACCGTGGTTTCCTGTAGTCTACATATATATTTCTCTTGTATTGCTTTTAGGAATTAAAAAAAAAAAAATCTTGGTTATTTTACTATTGTTTGTGACTGTCCATGGGAAAAGTACCTTAACTTTCCGGAACAAATGGTTTATGAGCGCCAAAACTAACTTTTAACTAACTATTTTATTAGAATGTTCAATTTGAAAACTTTATAACTTTTGAATGAATCAAGATATCATTGCGATCGAGACATCATTCAAACAGGCTACCATCTAACACAAATATAAGTTGAAACACCTACCGGTTTAAATATTTTAATAAAAAATTATATAAAATTGTCTATTATTCTTACACTATTTACACAACTTTCTATTACTACCATTTAAGTGGTTTGACTATTCTACCAACGTTTCGGAATATTTGCACATTAAATCATCAGGGCTGTGGTTCGATATTGCTTCTACCGTTATTTCTTGAAGTCTACATATATATTTCTCTTGGTTTGCTTCTAGAATTAAAAAAACAAATTCTTGGTTATTTATTATTATTTGTGACCATCCATTAAAAAGGTACCTTATCTTTCCCAAACAAATTGTTCAGAAGAGCCAAAGCTAACATTTTACTAGCTAACTTATTAGAAGTTCTAATTTAGCAAATTAACTATAACAAAATGCAAAACACGGTTTTTGAAAAACGGAAGATAAGTTACGCTTTTCCATAGACGGTCACAATTTATCTTCTCAATTTGTACTAGTATATAATAAAATAACAAACGTTCAAATAGGAATTTTAAGTTTAAACATTTAGTCAGGGACGTTTAAATGTAATAGAATTTTTGTAATATTCACAGAGCGATGAAATATTCTCCATTGAACCGGGAACCACAACTTTTATGGTTTTCGGACTAGGAATAGTCATTGTTAGCATTGAAGTGTGGGTACGCAGATTGTCGGTCAAGTAAGTGCATTGACTTTTTTTATTTAACATTAAATAATACAAACATATAGTGTAATGGGTTAGTGTCAGTTTTTTTTTACAAATAAAAATTATGAAAATGTTTAGTTCAATATAACTACATACAAAATTCCAAATACCAATATTGATTGTTTACCATGCCTGTCCATAATTCTCGTTTAGATTTGTTTTAGTCCGTTTTTTTTAAATAAAATTCTCATCAAAGGCATTTTACCATTAAATGACAGACGGATTTTTTGTGAAGATTAAAATTTTTACAACCCGATCACTACTCTAAACTTATCCTTACCAAATTAAAAATTTAAACTTGAAAAATACGTCAAAGTTAACCTATTTCTTAGTTTCATTAAAACCACGAGGACTTTCCTCCTTATGTCGTATCCTAATTTTTTCAACCCACCTTTTTAAATTGTTTTTTTATCTACCTTGATCTCTTAATACGGAAATGTGGAAGCATTTCTTTTTTGGCCATTCTATTGATCTGGATATTATTTCTTACTCTCTTCACACCCATCGAATCGGTCGGTCGACACGTCCACAAATATTCAAACAGTATGGGTTATTCTCATTTTTCATTGACTCATGATTCATTAACTACCTTCTACTCGTGTTTAATCACTCTTAATCACATCTGCTTTTTGTAGGAAAGCCGACAACATGCGCTGTGAAGACTGCGAACCAATAACTCAAGAAGAGTCATAATTCCTACCAACTTAATGCCGGACGAGCCCATAGTTGGGTTTGAAATAGAAACAATATAAATGATAATAAAGCTTAATAATTATCATATTAATAAACCCTTGTAAGGTAATGTACCTGACGTATAAATTGAAAATTTTTAACCTTTACGGTTTTTCTTATAAAAACATAAATGCTGTTTTTACGTTAAATTAATTACTGACCCATCTATCTTTTTTCTGATGACAGTAATTGTGAATATCGAGATGTCAAAGAACTGTGCTTATTCATTTTAAAAACTAAAAAAAAAAATTGCTCGCAAGTTTGAACATAATTATTCTACATTCTATACTCATATCATTATATAGCATTTATTAATAATTAGCAATTATATAAATGTTGCATTATTATTAATTAACAGTTATACAGTCTTTATTACATCCAAATAATAATTATATTAGTAAAAAAATGTAGTGACTAGTTTTAGAAAATTAAGTAAAACTATAAAATAATAATTAATTTGAATAAAACAATAAATTATAACATTTTTTTTGTATTTTTCCGTTTATACCTACTTTCTTTGTTTCAAAATTAAAAGAAAACGGCCGGACATGAAAAACGATTATTGTAATAATTAGTTTTACTTATATATTATAATATAAGTTCTCATAAAATAATATCCAGCAAAATTTAATTTAAAATAATCGATTTTAATGATATACAGCAAATATTAAAATTTAAAATACATCATTTATTATTTACTAGAATTGTATTAACCATACCGAGTGCCGGTTAAATAGGTCGCTGTATAACTTATAAATTTGATTGTAAAAAGAAATATTTTGTAGAATACATTTTAAAGAACCTCAGTGACGGTCATTTATAAAGGACAAAAAAATAAAAGGCATAAAATAATTAATGGGGAAACATTTTAGAAGTAATTTAAGCGAGCACTACCTTATCTGAAAGAGAATTGTGTAATAATCATTGTTAATGCTTCTTATATTATTTAGTACTGTAAGTGTAGGTTTCTGGGTAATAGTATCTCATATGTCGTTTTTAAACGTTGTAAATACAACAAAGTGGAGGTAAAATAATAGGTATTATAACGGCAGATCGCGCTCTCGAGGAAGAAAGGACTTTTTTCCCCAGAAGAAGACACACCCAATATCGATTTCCTACCCCCTTTTGGCCTACCGTTGGATGACGTACAGAGGTCGTTGAGATGTTTTAACCACTATTATTCGTGAATTCTATTCTATTTAACAATTAATAAACTTACGTTAGGCTAAATAATCGTCTAGGTGAAGTATGTACACACCTATTAAACGAACATTGCACCAGCCCCGTCTTTAACTTGTTAAGAACTCTGAAAATAGGCTTGAAATTTTATGCGAACAAAATGCTAATTAATGACACTTGAAAACTTAAAGATTTTTAAATAGGCAAAGCTGGCGCAATGTACGTACCTATAAGCTTATGTTTTTTTTGCAACGTTTTATTTACTTGATTCTATTATTTCAGCGTAGTGCAATAGTTTTTAATCAAACAATACACTTTAACAAATATATAATAAGTCTTTTTTTAATTTTTTAGTTTAAGTGGAAGTCATTTGCTTGTTAAAATGATACAAATAACTCTTCGAAGACCTTCACGCCGCCTTATATGCATTACGTTGTTCTATATAATGATAGGAGCTGCCTTATTGGACGTCTTGAAATCAGGAGGAAAAATAATGGCCAGAAAACGTCGGTACGACGAGTTAGGTAAGCATATCGACGCTCTTTAACTTCTATAAAAAAAATCCATAAAAAAAACCTAAACAGGGAAACATTGTTTATACTTATTGAACTAATGATAAATTTTGACGTTACCATTCATAATCCAAAAACCAGGGATTAAGTATAAAATGTAACTCGATTTACTGAGAAGCGTATGCCAGTTTATTTCAGTAAACATATCTGTACAATTTTCGGTTGTCAGAAAACATATTTTCTTGCAATATAGTACCAATGGTAGTAATAGATTACACTAGTAGGAGATCAAATTAAAGATATTGGTAATCCCTAATTAAATGAAAATGTTTTTACTTTATATAGCTTGGGAGCTCAAAATTGCCAGAAAATACAGCATAAGCCACGCTGACTACCTTTTAATGGAAATTAACGCAATGAAGCACACAAATTCTGGATTGCAGTTTAACGATACAGTATTTGGTGATGTATTTTTATTGAACTATCAACTTTAATCTTACCACTCATAAATTAAACACCATGCGATTGAAAGAAGTGTTAAAAAACTAAGAATATATTAAGTTTTCTATAAAAAAAAAAAAAATTCATATAAATATTTGTAATTGACCCTACTTTCTTAACGCCATATCCATAAAGAAAAAACTTGATATTGTAATTAAAAGCTATGGAGAAAGGGTTAAGTCAGGGGTTCGGAACTAATTCCGGAACATGTTCCTTCATGACTCCCTGTTGTAATCGTTCCGGAACAAATACCCGGAACTCGTTCCTCGAGATATTTGTTCCAGAGCAACTAAAATGTAATTGTTCCTTGTCATTATTAATAATTTATTAATGGAGCAAAATATATTTGTTCTACGTATTATGTTATTTCGTTCGAGTCTATTGAAGGTGCACATTTTTTTTGTTACTTTAGCTTTTGTGTGTGGTATTTTAGAAACAATAGTCACATTTATAAAAGTTAAATGTTAATTAATTCACCAAAAAATTATAGTTGATGCATTTGATATAACAATTAATGTTATTTTCAGTATACATAAATGTATATAGTATATATTGAAAGTTAACAGAATTAACGTAAAACAGAGTTAAAGTAACAAAAAAAATGTGCACCTTCAAAAAAACTCGAACGAAATAATATAATACGTAGAACAAATATATTTTGCTCCATTAATAAATTATTAATAATGACAAGCAACAATTACATTTTAGTTGCTTTGGAACAAATATCTCGAGGAACGAGTTCCGGGTATTTGCTCCGGAACGAATATCTTGAGGAACGAGTACCGGGTTTTTTTTCCGGAACGAGTTCTGAGTATTTGTTCCGGAACATAAAAGAGAAATGAGTCAAATAGGAACAAATTTCGAACCCCTGGTTTAAGTATACAATATATAAAAATATTTTTTAAATAAATTCACTCTCTTATCTTGCCGTCTTTTTTGCCATTCTCATAATTGTGTACTTTTAAAACAATATTTATCCATTCTTCTTTAATACGTACCACAGCTGTCGGACGCAAAGCTGCAACAAAAGCTCTAATATAAGAGCCACCTTGTTCATTCAGTTTTAATTATAATCAGGGGTTTACTTAGATATTGGAAGTAAAATGTGGTGAATTAAGCCATACGGAGAGCATAACTGGATGTACTGAATAGCGTATCTCAATTTTTGTTAGAAATCATACGTAAAAAAATTAAAAAATTTCTCTTGTCAGGAAACAGATACCTTTCCTTGCAATATTGTAATATCAATAGTAGTAATATATTACAGTGGTAGATAAAATTAAAGATATTGGTAATTCTTTACAAGTTAAAAATGTAATTGTATGACTTTCATTATATATTCTTTGGAACGTATTAACTTAATTATCAATGTTTATGTTTACATAGTTAGTAATTATTAATGTTTATGCTTTACATAGATTATGAACACAACATTGCCGAAAAATACAACATAAGCCAAGCCGACTACCTTTTAATGGAAACTAATGCAAAGAAGAACATTAATTCTGGATTGCAGTATGCCGATATATTTTTTGGTGATATACTTTTATTTTTATCAACTTTGACTACTTTTACCACTCATAATCAAAACACCATACGATTGAAAGAATTGTTAAAATCTTGTTTTCTATACAAACAATTTCCTATAAATACTTGTAATTGACCTATTTGTAAAGATCCTACCTTCTGAACACCCGTTTACCCTATTACATTCCACTTTTTTTTTATTCGTATTGTGTTCTTTTAAAAAATATATTTATTAACATAAACCACGTTGACTACATGTTATTAGGAATAATCTTAATGAACAAAACCTATACTGGATGGAAGTCCGTCGTATTTCTATTTGGTGATTTTGATCCGTTCACACTTGAAAAGCATTTGATTTTCATCTTTTACGCATTGTTGGGGATAGGCATCATAAAGTACCAAACAATTGTAAAACGTCTTAAAAAATTCGCCTCCGTAGTGATCAAAATGTAAGTTATACAATTTATTATAATTTCTTGACTGGATTTTTATTAAATACAGTATATTACATGATTGAATATACTGGTGTGATTGTCTATTAAAACATATAGTGTTTTAATAGACAATCACACCGCGACGATTGCAAGATCAATTCGACACATTTCCCTCCTTAATATAATTAATCGTACCTACTCATAACGTTAATATGACGAAAATGAGTGAATTGATTGTTAATCAATAATCAGCGATTATCAAACAGTATTAATTAAATGTATTAACTGTATTTTACGTATAAGCTATGACACATCTTTTATTATACATTAGAAGATATTCATATTCCTTTAATCAATTTAGGTATCTAGTACAAATTAATGAATAATTTATAAAAAGCAATTATTTACATACTGATTAATGATTAATAATTACTGTCGAAACTATTAAGTTATTTCATCACGGTTTTGTAGGTATTTTTTTAACGTAGTTAACTTAACCAACGTTGGTTTTGTATGGATTTTAATCGATTAAAGTCTAAATGAGAACTCAGACTATTGTAATTTTGTTTGTGCAGAGTTAAAAGGTGTTTGAATTGCATAGATGGGACAGTCGCCGAAATGAACTATACCGAGGCCGCTTCAGCTATCATCATTTTCCTATGTTTGATTTTATTCGCCGGGATCGGTCCTCTAGTCTTCATTGCGATACAGGTGAAACTAATAATCAAATATTAACAACTTAGGTACAGTAAAAAGTATAGAGAAAAGCACTTACAAAAACTTAATTCTTGTCTTATAAGAGTCCTGCAAGTTAGAGTGGTACAAAATATTCTAATAGAAAGTCAAACCTAAAATAAAAATCAACAAATTCGAATTATTTGAGATTTGGATTTTTATATTATTTTTACACTCTATACACAACCATCGGTTAATACAACTTGAGTTTTTTGACTAGTCTACAACGTTTCGGAATACTTGTAAATTCCATATTCAGGGTTGTGGTTCGATGTTGCTCGTACCACGGTTTACTGTAGTCTACATATATATATTTCTTGGATTGTTTTTAGGAATTAAAAAAAAAACCTTGGTTATTTTATTACTGTTTGTGACTGTCAGTGAGAAAAATAACCTTATCAAATGTTATCATCTCCGAACAAATTGTTTATGAGCAATTAAACTAACTTTTTACTAACTAAATAACTTTTTAGAAACTCCAACTTGAAAACTTCATCACCTATAAACGGATCGAGATATCATTGCGATCGACTTATTGTAATCAGTAGCTAGTCGACTATACAGGGTGTTCCAGCATAAAAGGTAAGTAATAGGTGATTGGACATCTAGGGGGTCCCCAAATAAGCCCCCCGTTTTTATTTTTTCGATAAGTCAAAAATTAAAGGTTTCGACAGTTAAGTAAAAAAATAATGACCATAAAAAAACAAAAAATTATTCTATGTTATTCAGTGCAAAAAGCTAATCTTAATAGAGGGTGTTAATAATGTTAACGCCTGATAAAGGTCGTCGACCGTCGGTAATCGGTGATAGTCGGTTCTCTCCTTCCCGTGCTATCCACTCTGCGTTCTTATCGTATTCCGGCAGTATGGGGCCTAACCTATGTCAATGTTGTTGTTGTAATTTTTGTTTTTGTACATACCATGTGCTGTATTGAACACACACCCCTTTGTCGTCTCTCGTTTTTTTGTTTCAACCTCGTATAATTAACAAATTAATTGTAAATTAAGCGTCGCGGTTCGTCCGTTATTCTATTGTATGTTGCCATTACGGCAAGGACACATATAAAACAATAAATCTACCGTTGAGATAAACCGTGTTGAATTGTTGGTTATCCCGTGACGTCCCAGTCATTCCACGTGTTGGTCAACAGTGACCCTGAAAAAAGCAATTACCGTCAAGTGAGTACACGGTCTTCTTCCTTTTTTTGAGTTCTGCGGTTGTCCGTCATTGAGACGCCCACCTCAACGTGTAATCGCGCGCTCGACGGCCAAACTGGCGTCACGCATCGTCTACGCGTAAGTCCGTCAACAACGTTTGAGTTGCTGGCGAGGCCGCCCAGGTCGTCCAGACTTCCATCTGTCGTCCATTCAACTCCGTCGGTCATCATTTCACCGTCGCTAGTTAAGTTAATATTAAGTTGTCCCAGTTTGTAATTCGAGCCTTGTGGCCATTGCACCATACCGATCCGGCCACAAGGACCCCCTGGCCCCATAACTAACCTGTACCATCCTCTTTTCCCATTGTATAATCTTATTCCCTTCCTGTGGTCTCGATTTTCCTTCCGCGCCGTTACCGTGGTCGCGCTGCGCATTTAGTCACGGGCTCGGCCCCCGTATTCCGTTCAACCGGCGTACATGTGAGTGTTGGTGTGGTTGCCGACTCAAACCGAGCACGGCGCCACGGGTATAGCACATTGGGTTGCATACTCTGTGCCCCTCCGGGATTTTTTTGTTTGGTTTTTTTTTGTTTTGTTTTTTCGGATTTAATCGCGAACGGTTTTCGTCGTCGCGTGCGTTTGTATAACAGGGGGGTCACATCATTTTCAGTCTCTTTCGGCCCCTAACTCAAAAAATGATAAGAGAAAAATGATTAGAGACCAGAAATAAATGATAAGTGATAAAAGATAAATGCTAAGACATAATTGATGAGAGATAAAAGAAAAGAGATAATTGGTAAAAGATAAATTATGAGAGATTAGAGATAAATGATAAGAGATAGGGGCTAAATGATAAAAGTTTGGAAATAAATAATATTAGAAACAAGAGAAAAGAAATAAATAATAAGATATTAGTGATAAGAGATAAATGATTAGAGACTAGAGGTAAGAAAAAAAATGATAAGATAAGTGATAAGAGAAGAGTTGGAGGCTGAAAAACACTGAAAATTATGTGACCCCTCTTTTAAGATGAGCTTTTTGCACTGAATAACAGGGAATAATTTTTTGTTTTTTTTGGTCATTATTTTTTTACTTAACTGTCGAAACCTTTAATTTTTGACTTATCGAAAAAATAAAAACGGAGGGCTTATTTGGGGATCCCGTAGATGTTCAATCACCTATTACTTACCTTTCATGCTGGAACACCCTGTATATTAATGCAAAAACATGTTTTTTTTAAAAATGGAAGTTAAGGTACCTTTTCCCATAGAGGGTCACATTTTATTGTCTCACTTTTTTACCTAGTATATAATAAAATAACGAACCTTTGAATAAGGGTTTTAAGTTTAAACATTAATAACAGTAACGGTTAAATTAAATAGAATTTTTGTATTATTTTCAGTACGACGTAATGCAAAAAATGACGGGAATCTTACTTTTTACATTATTTGCATTCGCATTTTTCGCTGCCGCCGTTGATATGTTGATTTTCATTAAGGAACTCGTAAGTGCATTGCCTTTTTTTTATTTAACACTTAATAATAAAATCTGTAAGTATACATTTTACCAAATTAATAATATTATCTTGGCAATACATCAAGTTAACCATATCCTGGTTTTTTTTCTACTCAACCGACTCAATTGTTTTATGTTGGATTTTGAGTCCGACATTTAAAAGATATTAAATCTTGAATGAAATGTGGAAGCATTTCTATTTTGGCCATCTTTTTCGATCTGGACTTACTTACTCTCATCGTCCCCCATCTAATCGTTCTGTCAACAAGCTCACAAACTATTCAAACAGCTTGGGTTATTCTCATTTTCTTTTTTTTCTCTTTGATTCATAAACTACATTCTACTCGTGTTTGTTCACTCCTAATCACATCTGATGTTTTTAGGAACGCCGATTTTTGCTCCATTTAAACAACGAACTGATAACTCAAGAAGAGTCATAATTCCTACCAACTTAATGCCGGACGAGCCCATAGTTGGGTTTGAAATAGTCTCAACATAAATTATAATAAAGCTTATTCTATAATTCTAATTTGATCAATTTAATGACAAGGCTTGTTTTCTTTTAAATAATTATGTGTTGTAATGAACAATATTATGCGCTGCAAAACTCATCAATTACATTTTTATATATCACTTAACAAAATATTTATCATATTAATAACCTGATGTAAGATCATTAACTGACGTGTAACTTGCAAGTTTTTAATCTATACGGATTTTTTTATAAAAACATAAGTGCAGTTTTTACGTTAAATTTATCTCTCAGACAAATGAGAATCGCCCTATTTTCTACCTTTAACTCTGACCCAGGCAATCTTTTTTCTGATGACAGTAATTGTGAATACCGGAGTTATCAAAAAACTGTGCTTATTTATTTTTAAAAAACTAAAAAAAAATTTATCGCGAGTATTAACACAATTATTCTACATTCTATACTTACATCAACATTTAGCATTTATCAATAATTAGAAATTATATAATTTGTTTAAAATATTGCATTATTATTAATTAATATTTATACAGTCTTTATTACATTCGCATAATAATTATATTAATAAAAAAATGTAGTGACCAGTTTTAGAAAATTAAGTAAAATAATAAAGTATTATTTAATTAGAATAAAAAAAAAAAAATGAATTTTTTTTTCCGTTTATATCTACTACTTAAAATCCATGCAGTTAAAATCCATATTCCTGTTTAACATCCAACACAAATTAAATAAGTAAAACATAACGTATAATAAATAGTTCGTTTGAAAAGTCACTTTTTTGCTCTAACTTTAATACTTTACATAAATATTTATTTTCTAAAAGTATTCCTTGCATAATATATTAAATTGTTTTCATTTTGCATTGCTCATCTAATAACACTTATCGTTTGTCTATACTCTATATACTTTCTTTATAATCGAATATAATTTTAATTATTTTACTTATTTACTTTTATGTACTAATTTTTCCCCCATAAAATCAATTAAGTATTTTTTGTATAAATAGACAATTATTTTTATCAGATATTATTTTTCATAATGATTTATGATATCCTTGTATAGTAATTTTACAACTCTTTCAAACGACAAAAATACACACATGCTTAAACATGCAAAAATAAAACATGCTTTTCTAAAAAATAGTAAAAAATGAACTAAAAAGTAAAAAATAATTTTATTACAAGAACAATTTACCTATCAATTGTAGCACATTTAATTTAAAATGTAAATTACTTTGAAAATAATAAAAAATTAACTACAATTTTAAATAACGTTAAACATCTTAAATTTTTGACAAAAGAGAAAAGCGTGGGTCCTATTCAATAAGTCTTTCATAAATGTATCAGATAATATTTTATATTTTAAGTTTTTTATAATTTAAATTTGGTTTAATATTAGTGTGTGACACATACATTTCATGATACTTAACTCCATGAATTTGGAGTATATTGAATTTTTTCAACTTTTTTAACAATTTTTTAAGTCAATTTTTTATTGTTTTCAAAGTAATTGCCGTTTTAAATTAAATGTGCTACAATTGATTGGTAAATTGTTCATGTGATAAAATTATTTTATACATTTTAGATCACTTTTTACTATTTTTTAGAAAAGCATGTTTAAAAAAGGTTTTTTAATTTTATTTTTAACTTTTTAGTCTTATTAGAAGGTACTTAATAATTAATGAATAGATTATTAAATTAATTTTAAAAGATTTGAAAAAACATGAAATTTTAGTGAAATTACCCTCACATTTGACCCTTTGTAGGGTGACCTAAATGTTCGAATCCTAATACGATTACAGGATATTGTATTGTAATCCGAAATGAGTGTCTGTTCCAAGTTTCAGCCCTCTGCGACATCGGGAAGTGGGTTTAATTAATTTTGCAAGATTTTAAAAATACCCGTATCAACGTAAGCATGTGTTAGCGAGCTAAAGAAAAGTATATAATAAAAAGTAGTTAATGTCAAATGTGTACTGAATTTTGCTCGTACTCATAAGGAATTTTATTACCTCATTAGTCTCAATTTGTTTTTGTTTATATATTTTTATAAGTTATTATAATTTTCTGTACTTATAAAAAAAAAACCAAAAACCGTGCACTTCTATCAATCGTATTGACGGTTTAACGAAAAAACGTTGCTCAGAAAATCTATAATATTAATAAATATTTAATTTATATAATAAAATATATTGTTCAATACAAGTGCCAAAAACATTAAAATTTAGGTAAAAGCAAATTATGCACATTTTATGGTATCATTTTTGCTTTCACAAAGAGAAGCTAATGTTTCCTGGAAAATGAGTTTTTCGAATCTCTGTCTGGTAGTATGACAATTTGTATTTTTATCGAACATAGAACTACTTGGTATTCTGTCCGTGTATGAGCAATTTCTATGTCCATCAATACAACTATGCGGATGAGATTTTTTTGCTAAGTTTTACTAGTGTGTTTGTTAGATTTACTAGATAACTGATTGAAATTTTGAGGTGATTGGGTTTTATTTTGACGGGAATTATTTATTTTCCTCGTCATTTATTGAACTGAAAACGTTATCAAGCTATAATTTATATTATTTGTTGTAACTAAAACAAAATATGTTGATTAAAATGTTAAATATGTACATTAGGTAGTATGATACTATAATGGCTTAACTGAATTTTAACTTGAAAAAAAAGTCAGTTTAAAAATGTATTAAGTTAAGTTATGCTTTTTAGAAATATACTTTAAACGTTTCGTTCCAGGGATAATATTTTATATTATTCAAGGAAGCATAACATAACTCAAAATGTTTTTTTTTAGTTTTTTTACAAGTTCAATTTCAGTTTAGCTATCAGAATAGTGAATATCATAATATATATCGTTTTAATCAACTTCTCTTTTAGTAAGAGCAAATAATGTTAATTTTGTCATTAAATTCCTTGAATGCAAAACATGACCGCGTTTGAACTATTCGAATAGGTACTTAAAAAAGTCATCTTATGATGGAAGTGTTGAGCCTACAAAGCCAGTAAAGCTACCTGATGATGATGACGATGCCTCTAAAAAAGCATCTTCTGATTGATATTTTGAGTTTTCCAAAGTTTTTCACATACATAAGTAAAAATTATTAAATAGGAATATGTAATTTCGATTTCAACACTTTGACTTTATGTTTATTAGAAACCTTTTTTTGATGGCTATTAGAATATTAGGGACGACTATCCTACCGAAGTTACCCTCCTCATAATATCCACATAAGCTCATTATGCCAACTTCTGAGTGTGCTATAAAGTCATAATATTTATTCTTTGGTGATTTTGAATATCGAAAAAAATTATTCAGAATTGATTCAGTTATTTTATGTGATAAGCGCTCATATAGAAATTGGGATTGGCATGTTAAGATAGTATATTTTATACTAACGATTTGGAACGTGCTTTTAGCGAAATAATTTACTTTTCACCTGTCACAGTATATTAATATGTACTAACCTAACCGAAACTAATATAAGCAATTCGTCGCTCAAATGTTAAAATTGTAAATGACATTTGTCTTACGTTATCCCAGCACGTGTCTGGCACATTAACTGCGCAGTTAAATCGATAAAATATGTCTAAGTAGGTATCAATACTTGAAATAGTATCAACATCTGAAATGATTTTATGGATTTGATGTCAACACCTACACGCTCTCGAATGCATTATTTTTTTATTTATTTGATGTATAGTTATAATAATATCAATAATTGTTATATTGATTATAATATTATAGTTTATGCTATACCAGTTTGAGACTTGAAGTAAAGTATTGACATCCCTTGCTTAAGTTATAATTGTTAGGTTAAAAATGGGCTTAGATTTTTTATATACTAATTTTTTTAATTTGACTTTTTAAAGATTCAAAGTTTCAGATTGCGTCCTACTTTAATAGGCAGCAAAGGTGTAAAATATACCGTTTTGTAGTTACTCTTTTTTTACCTTCTATTCTTGTCAAGACTTATAAGAAGACCTTGTACACGTCTTCGAGGTACAGCCACGCGTTACAATACATTTTTTGTGACTTGAGAAATCACAGGAGTAAGTGTACAAAAGAGATACGGTGTGCGTTCAAAATATCTGTACACGCAATCCATTATAATTATTATTTTGTGATATATTTATGTGTATTGTTTGTTATTGTACTGAAAGTTATAAGTACAAGATATATATATATATATATATATATATATATATATATATATTTCCTGTATTTGTGACTATTGATCTTGTATTATGTTATTTGGCTTTTGTCAAAAACCGGATCACGGCAAAATGACTCTTGCTGTTTTGGCGAAAGTTCTTACAATATTATAAGCGTGCTTATACAATAAGCCTGTCATTAATTAAACTATCAGAGCTGTTGAAGAACTCTAGGCCATGCTAGTTGTAAAATAAATAAGTGTCTTTGAAAAACAAATTTGGACCTACGGAAGAAGGACTAGATAAAGTATACATTGAAGAAATCGTTAGTAAAGCGGCACAAAGAAAGTACCGCTTGGCTTGCGGTGTAGAAATAATTTTTGTTAAGGTTTAATTATTTTTAGAAGAGTATAAGACCTTTAATAATCGGACTTTTGAAAAGTTCAACCAAAGACTACATTTGCTGGCGGTACTGAGAAATTAATAATTATATAGAAAGCCTCGATTAAAACATCAGACTTTTAATTTTATCCACTCATAATGAAAAGTATAAAGTACAGTATTTTCATTTTTAAGGGCCTTAAACGTCATAAACGTCTTCGCTGCTGCAACACATCTAGGAAATCCTTTTTTTAAAAATTATATCACGCACGTCATAGGAGTGTTCGAAGAAGACCATTATGACACACGCGCTACTATCCGCGTTATAATAATAAAATGAATCCAAAACAATAACCCTTATAACTTTTCCTCTTTATTAGTTTTGAACTATTTTCTTGGAATCAATGGTAAGTTTATGATTTTCAAAATAATTTTTTTATGTGTTTGTAGAATGTATATTTTGGATTCTTATAGTTTTGCTGTTTTGTTTTGTTTATTGGTATATATAAATTATTTTTTATTTTGAACGTTGCCTATAAGTGCATTTTTGTATTTTGATAAGTTTGGTTGTTTATTAAACGAAAAAAACAAACAAAAAACAGCATACAAAAAACATCACAGTTTGTTTTAGAAAAATGTTTGCTGTGTTACAGTTTATTAACATTTTATCTTATACAACGCTATTACATCTAGATACTTTATGTATAATGTAATATCGCATTTTTAAAAAATACACATAAAATGTTAATGTTTTATACAATTGTATTAAATCGACTTTTAGTGTTTATGTCCGTTTTCATCAATTTGGCTTTACAATTAAATAGAACGAAAAGTAGAATATAGCTTGTAATTTCATTATTGTTAAAATTAA